TGACGAAGAAATGACGCTACAAACTGTTACTGGTGAGTGTCAACGATTAATAAACTTGAAACAGGATTCGGCTATGTTAGAAGCCAAAAGTGCTGCACCATCTAATCATTCTGTCCATGCTGTTAAGACCAGTCAACGACAAAAAAGTGCCAAAAGCTATAAACATCACACGAAAATTCCTAAACCTTCGACGAAATGTTGGTATTGTGGCGCATGGCACTTCTCAAGATTTTGCAGATTTAGAAATCATAGATGCACCGTGTGCAATAAACTTGGTCATAAAGAATCAGTTTGCCGGACTAGAGAAAATTTTAGATCAAAGCCTACGAAGCGTCCTCACCAGTTTCAAAACAAATATATTAACAGTATATATTCTACACGAGCTCTAAGTATGGCAGATAAAAGAAGGTATGTGGAATTAGTGGTTAATGGTGTTCATGTCCGATTACAATTGGATACAGCGTCAGGTATCACATTGATCTCTAAACGAACATGGAATTTAATTGGTTGTCCACAAATATTACCTACTGAGCATACTGCACGAAACGCATCCGGAGATATTTTAAAGCTTGTTGGAATTATTAAATGCTCTGTCGAATTTCGAGATAACTACTTCACAGGGAATTGCTATTTAACGAACAGGCATGACTTAGACCTTATTGGAATAGATTGGATAGATAAAATAAACCTATGGGATGTACCATTGAGTGAAATATGTATGATGAAGTGCACAAATAGTCCTAGAGATCTACCCATTGTTCATGTAACTAAGAAAGCCATAACAATAGAGGACCTCTTGCAGAAACACAAGAAGTTGTTCCAGAATAAATTGGGATGTTGTACCATTGGAAAGGCAAAGTTATATTTACGACAGGATTTAAAACCTGTTTTTTGTCCAAAACGCCAGGTCCCGTATGCAGCCACCGATAAAGTTGACAAGGAATTAGACCGATTAGAGAAACTGGGTGTTATACAACCGGTTAATTATTCAGCATGGGCAGCACCAATGGTAGTAGTGCAGAAAGCAAACGGAACTATTCGCTTGTGTGCAGACTATTCAACACGATTAAACGATGTTTTACAAAATCATGGGGAGACAGAAGCCTATAATATGGGTTCGCGTAATGATGCCCATAATTCTGATGAAATTTCGTATAAAAATGAGAAAAATAAGTCGGTCGAATCAGATGGTGATCAAAAATCTAATGCAATTTTATTAGATGCCGATTCTCCTAGTTATCTAATATCCTCTAGTGAAAATTTTAATGAATTTGATGGGGATATTTCAGAAAAGCCGAATTCCGATAACCTAAAATCAAATATCGTTCATCATCATCTATTCATTTCTATTAGATTCTACGTTCAATACGAGAAATTTGTCCTAAATAAAATAATATTAATTGTATTTTGGAGATATGAGGATCCAACATTATTTCGTGGGGGAGGAAATGTTGGAGAATTTCAACTCACAGATAATTTTTTAAAATCAGAATCTAATCATCGAATCTTCAAAAAAGGGGAGGTGTTGTGTAGTAGCGAAGACATAAGTACGGGTAGCTTGCAGGACCTACTATTGGACTATCATTCTTATTGTATAACTATTCGGTAACTAGATTATCTATATATATATTCATCTTATTGTAAGCTTCATTTTGACCTATTGATTATTACTATATGATTTACTGTCCCTATGTTATGCTCAGTTTTATTGGTTATTGTCTCCTACGCTTACAGCCTCATTTGGCCTGGTTTTGTACAAATATTAATTTCTATTTTATGGTGTGGTGTGGTCTGCCTGTCTGGTATATAGACAAAGTACGTTTGAAATAAACGATTCGCATTACAGCAGCTGCTATTGGTGTTTTTGGACTCGAGTGGACGGGTTAGGCGGATAAGGACCAATAAGGACGCTAGATTACTCATACCAATCGAACGTCATTGTCGCAGTGTGAAGGTCGTAGAAGGCGTATTCTATTGGTGGATAATTTACGCGAATTACGTCCTTGTAAAATTCGTAAGGTCATAACGAATCAGCGACGACCTTGATCAAGTCATAACAATTGGCTACAGTATAGGTCGAAAACATAACACCCCAATGGGTTACATCCACGTTTGCTGTCATCGCTTGCGGACATTATCTCAAGACCGCTCACGACGCTCTTCAACATGTCCCTTTCAAACGCTCAACTACATTGAGACTGGAAAGATGCTATAGTTAGTCCTATATTTAAGGATGGTCAAAGACGGATCGTATCTAACTACCGGCCTGTCAGCCTGACCAGCATAGTAGTTAAGTTACTTGGAAAGATAATTCGGGTTAACCTACTGAGTCACATAGATTCGTATAATCTGCTGACTCCCGAGCAACATGGGTTTCGTAACAAGCGTTCATGACTAACTAACTTACTCATTGCGAGAGAGGATTGGACAGCAGTTCTAGATAACGGCCTGTCTGTCGACGTGATGTTAATAGATTTTAGCAAGGCGTTTGCAAGGTTTCACACTTAGGTCGTATGCAGAAGCTCTCGAGGTTTGGAATAATAGGTGCTACACAGGAATGGATAGGAAGCTTCCTATGTGACCGCAGACAGAGAGTGAGGGTCAATGAAACGCTATTCGAATGGAAACCGGTCAAAAGTGGTGTACCCCAAGGCACCATCTTAGGCCCTTTACTTTTCCTTCTGTATGTTAATGAACTACCTCTATTACTTAAGTCGTCGACATTATTGTTTACGGATGATGTTAAAATCTGGAGAACAATAAGAAGTGAGGCTGATCGTTGTCATCTGCAAGCTGATTTGGACGAATTAGTTAGATGGGCTCATGATTGGGGCTTGGAAGTTAATTCCAGGAAGAGCGTGTTCATGCACATCGGGCACGATATTAGTTACCACTATACCATTAATGGTACATCTCTTCCACGCGTTCAAGAGCATAAAGACTTAGGGGTAATAATAAGTCATGACTTGAAAACTACTACGCCCTGCAATGCGGCTGCTTCCAAAGGTTATCGTGCGCTATGGTCAAATCGCAGAGCATTTAAATGTCTTGACGAGGATATGTTTCGAAATTTATATCCCACCTATGTATGGCCACACTTAGAATACTGTATCCAAGCAGCTAGCCCATGTCTGATAAGGGATACTAAATCACTTGAGTGTGTCCAACGTGTGGGAACAAAATTAGTGAATGGTCTTTTTAAACTCCTTTACGACGAGAGTTTGAAACGTCTAAACCTTTTCCTCTTATCTTATGGTAGGATACGAGGTGACCTTATACTGGCATTTCGTATCTTTAATTATGATTTGGGTGTTAATATGTCTTGTCTTTTTGCTCCCTCTAGCACTAATAGTCTCCGAGGTCATAGCAAAAAGGTTCATAAACCGCAATTTAATGAACTAAAAGTGGGGTCACGTTTTTCTCATCGAGTAGTCAATGATTAGAACGCATTACCAGAACAAGTGGTATTAGCTTCATCAGTGGACATTTTCAAGGAGAAGCTGAACCTTCACTGGAAGGTAATCTGTGAGGATTACCACAGGTTCACCAACCTACTATCCTTATTACTGAAGACTGAAGACTGATATTTTTATTTCAAAAGAACAAATTTATTTCGTTTGCTAATATACGCGTATATTTAAATTTTTTTTAAAAGCCAAATAAATAATTCTGTAAATACCGCTTTTACGGTGTCACATTTTTACGAAACACATGTGCTTATTTTCCTTTTTTCGCCCGCTCTATGTCTTCACAAGTGACATTCGATATACACTTACACATCCTTCTTTCTTCTTTCCCCGGACGAATGGAAAAGACGAAAACAACGGCGAAATTTGTACCTGTTTCCTTATTATTGTATTGTAACACATGGCCCCTTATAGTAAGAAAAGACGACCAGACGCTGCTGGATATAACAAGCGACTAGAAGAGTGATTAATAACGACAAACTCGTTAGGTTGAAACGTCCGTCTGGCCACGTCTTGCGGTCATCAGTTCCCCACTAGGGTGAAGGATTGATCCGTAGCCTACGTGAACCCCTAAAATCAGTAGCTCTGTAAGTCTTGAACATTTGATGATGATCATATCAGTTTCAATGGACTCAACTAGGTGATGACGCTCGGTCACGCGTCCGCACAATATCATGAGTATGTAGTTGGCGTGGAGTCCCGATTGATTATGGTCACCACTGCAGAAAGATTATGTGCCAGATACTAAGTTGGATCCCTCCGCAAGCCGAAATAGAAGGCTGTTGTCGGTTGCAATAAGATTTATTTGTTGGCGATCTCGTGGCTTCGAAAGAGTACCGAGATCTTGCCAAAGTTTGCAAGCGGAAATACCAAGCGTACTCGAGTTCCTACAAATTCATAGGCAATGTGTGTTTTTGGTACACTTAAACAAACGAGTACAGTAAAACAATCACTGGTACATTTGGTTATAGTAATAATTATTTCCATTATACCAATCGCGTTCTAGTTATCAAAGTGGGTCATTGCAAGTACGCGGTGCTTCACTACTGCGACCGCTAGCCGGCTTACACTAGTCACTTCTCAGTGTATCGATATTCTATCACACATATCTTTGAGCCCCTTCGCTTCTGACTTCTGATCTGACTAGGTTGGCACGTTTCGATTATGGAAGTTGTTACCGGTTGAAATGTTGTAAAACTCTGAATACTTGTGGCATCTTTTCACTGTATTTTCAATTCGGCTGACATCAAAATTTATCTGAAGTTAACCGATCTGTAATTCTTCTAACTGAAGATAAGACATGTTCAAGCTCTGGTAGGTTCGCGTTCAGCCTGTTGGTACACTGTTTTTCAAGGGGAGAGCATGAAGAACATGATCATGTTCTCTCACTCGAGTGAGAGTATCTGAGAAAGAACAAATGAAAAATAAGACGAAGACCTAATATGTACATGAAGGGCTCTTCCACTTAATAACCAAAGTAACCAAAAACGTTCAGTTACCACATAAGCATAAAACATAAGAAACCTGATGATTGGAACTAGAGGTTGGAAGGGTTAGGTCTTGAGAGCGTAACAGGCGCCGTAATTGTATCATGCGCTCCGAAGGCTTCTTCAAAAAAGAGGATATTCTTGAATGCGTAAATAGAAAGGCAGATGACAAGAAACTGCGGCACTTTTCAATCAGTCGATATGGGTTAGTAGATGATGATGTTAGAAAAATTGTATGGCCAATCTTAGTGAGAGGAAATTGCGAACTACCAGATATAGGTAAAGTCAATACTCAGTGTCTAAACCATATCATGTCATGTATGTTTTGAAATATTAACAGTTTTCGTTTGATTTTCTTTCTTTAAACCTTCAAACTTGTTCACTTTTTGCCTCGAATCGTAGGTGACTACCTATTACTCCCTATTTTAATGAAAAGTGAAGTATATTTAACATTGTGGTTAGCACGTAGTCTAGTATTTTGTAATACATCATAGTCTCCGTGTCAGTCAGCGTTTGGCAGATCAGAACTTCCTCGGATTTCCCGAGATTTAACTCTTGGAAGTTTTGTCATCAACTTTGGTGGGGTTTCGTCTATAACCATTGTCTATGTTAGTGGTAACTTGCTGTTTAGTACCTCTTACTCAAGAAAAATGGTCCAGGCCATATTATAACACACGAGCCTAGAAACGTTAAAAGGACTATACTTTGACAATGAAGTCTATCACAATTATCTTATCGCGTTCAGAGACAAATGTCAGTCTTCTGGTAGCCCTAATTTTCATAAAAGTGACCTGTAGCTAAGGAAACCGTATGTAGTGAGCCCGATTTCTCGTCATATATGAGTACAGGTTTTTATCAAATACAGTAACCTTGAACAATGTTACTAAATTTGATGAATTCCGGACGGATAAAACATCAACATATGTAGTTTCCTTAACACAAATCTTTTCTCTACTCCACCACTACCTTTAGCTGGCCTTCAGCTACTGCACAACTACCCACTATTCCCAGAAAACCTGAATGGAACATTGAAGTAGGTCCCCCGACCCTACTTGAGGTTCAAAAGGCTATAAGTAATCTGAAACGAGGAAGAGCAACTGGTCCAGATGGATTGGCTCCAGAGGTCTTTAAATATGATGGTCCAATTTTAGCGATTAGATTGACCAATATTCTAGCTAAAATCTGGGAAACGGACATAATCCCATCTGACTGGTCACAATCTCTGATTGTCCCAATACATAAGAAGGGGCCAAAATCATCCTGTGGTAACCATAGAGGGATTAGTCTGACTAACATAGCATCTAAAATACTAGCCTCAATAATTATCGGGCGCCTAACTAAGACTCGTGAACTGCAAACACGAGAAAATCAGGCTGGCTTCAGACCTGGTCGTGGCCGTATCGACCACATATTCACCATTCGTCAAGTCTTAGAGCACAGACATGTTTATCGGCGTCCGACAATGATAGTTTTTCTTGATTTGAAAGCAGCATTTGACTCTGTAGACCGAGAGGTTCTGTGGCAGTGTCTGTCATTGAAAGGTGTACCTGAGAAGTACATAAACCTTGTGAAGGTTCTTTACTCGAACACTACCAGTCGATTGAGAGCTTATGGCGAACTGTCATATGATTTTACAACCTCAAGTGGTGTCCGTCAAGGCTGTCCACTATCCCCATTTTTGTTTAACTTCATTATAGACCTGTTACTGGAAATAACACTCTCGTCGATTGAACTTTCAGGTGTTAGGGAATGATGATAAATCGGTTGATGAGGTGATGAATCTTCATCGACTGAGATGGTTGGGCCACGTGTTACGTATGCCTGAACACTGATTACCACGACGCGCTATGCTGACTAGTGTAGGGGATTGCTGGAAGAGAGTTAGGGGCGGCCAAACCAAAACATGGCATCAGTGCTTGAAGTCACTAACCTCTAGTCTGAGCCATGTTGGCAGGTGCAGACTACCTGGTTGGGGTCCGCGTGACTATCGTAACCAATGGTTGGAGACTCTGTGTGACATGACTCAGAATCGATCACAATGACGTAGGTGTATACACTCTTTATCTTCCCTTAAACCTTGAGATTAAAATTGCTTCATAACTTTTTTCCTTCCTATACTATATCCTTATATACAACCTTTCTTTATATACTATCACCACTAAATTAATTACTTCTATGAATCCTGTGTTGATCTTGTTGTGCTAACGAGGTATGGTAACTTGGACCGATGCATATGTGTGCCTGGTCCTACGTTGTAGCTGACTAACTGACCACTACCTTTACTCTGACGTGTGAATATTTTATGGAGGGAAATTTTCTGACCAGATGAAAACTTTTTGATTGTTAAAATCAGTGGACAGTATGCTAATGGATAGATGAACGCAATGATATAATGTCACCGAGTGATGGCTGTTCACGAGGCCATATTATTAACTTAAGCCACTTGAGTGATTAGAAATTAAAGACAAAACCACTAGCCAGGTGAATAGTTTTTCATGTAGTGAAATGACATGCTTATACACAAACTATGAACGAAAAATAAACATAAAAGAATGTTATAAGCGATTAGATGAAATTGATTTGTAATTCATTCATTCACCAATCGATTGAGACTAGACTATTATCTTTAATGTCCGCACATCGTATCAGATTGTCACTTATATTCTGAGTCATTGATATTTACTGGATAGTAAATCGTACTTGTTCTGAAATTCCCTCGTACTAAGCTATTGTTAAGGAATAAGAAATCAGTTAGAATGATTTTATTGGAATTATTTGTCCGTTTCAAAATTCGAAGCTTATTTTCCTATCCTGTTTATGACTCAAGAGATACTTGCTAGAACAACAGATCAGAATATCTCTTGTAGGAAACGACATGAAAATATTGTGAAGAAACCGGTACAAACGATGGGGAATAATGGCGTTAACCTTTCTGGCTCGGTATATGGAGATTAATAATTTGTATCATCATCAAGATTTATAACTACTCAGAGCCAGGAACTTCTTGACTTCTTGTGTCCTAGGCTTAGTGGTTGTGCATACGCTTAAAGACGTCACAGGTATTCGGAGTTTGACAGCGCCTTTACATGTTATGCCTTTATAATCAAAGTCAGAAATGAAGAGGTTCGAATATATATTTGGAAAACTATCGATATGTCGAAAAGCGTTTGGTCTAAGTTGGTCAGTAATTGCAAAGGATACGTAGCACGACGTACCTACTCGTGATCTGGTGCGGATGCGTGCTCGAGCGCCTTCAGCTAGAGTATGTCTAATGAAACTAACGAGGTCAGCATGAATGTCAAGGATTTGCAGGATTTATTCATCGCTACACACCAGGCCTTATAATTGTACTTTAAGATTCGATGATTTAAAATATCTTCAGGCTACTTCACAAATGTTCGTTTGCAACAATGGAGGGAAGTAATTGTATACATTCATCTCACATGATGTGTTTTTCGTAAAAGTACCTCGCAATGTTAATACATTTATCCACCATAGCTACCTTCAGCAGACAATCCGGGTACACAACCACGCACTATGATTTGAAGTTATCCGTTGTGTTGTGAAACACAATTATTGACCTCCAATGTGTGTGATTATGCTTGGGCACCCGACTAGTGCCGGAAAAACGATCAATACATCCACGACATAGGCGAAATTTCACTTACTCTTTACAGGTCAGTTTCTCGCTCTTTAGAAATGGTGGGGTGTAGCGAAAACCTTGATTTGGAACGCAACTGATATTAGACATGCTCATCGGGGAATTTCAGGCGGAATACATCATGCGTTTTGAAAATATTTATGAAAGTCACTTCATTCAAAACTAATGGGACATTATTTCGTTGAATTAAGGTCTAGTTAGTTCAAGGATCAGAGTGTCATTCCCATTGTTATGATGTACATCACCACAACAAGTGAAACTTAAGTCATTAGATGAAATTCTTTTTTCTGTTTGTTTGCACACACGGTTCTAATTCCTGTTCTGATAAAATACTTTAATAGTATAAAATTTTGTCTTAGTTTCGTTAATCAATCATCTTATAACTGTGATAATTTTAATCTCAATGTTATTTGAATCTAGAACGTAATAAGAAGCTAAGACTATACTTTATTACAGGAAAATATACATACAGTTACAAGCACTTCGAACGAATTTAGTGGAGGGGGGCTAATATGTGTGAGCGATCGAATGCATACGAAAATTTATAGTCAAATCTAATAAGGCGCAGCTAGGCAAGGCAAAGGATATTAAAAGGATTTGGAAGCATATATGCATGGGAAAGATGATGATTTATTGAGAGATATTTAAGCTATTAACATTTCAGCTAGTGAGAGATATGTGTGTTGTTTGTCACATGTGAATAAGAGTGCATGTTTAAACACACATTACAGTGATCATAATATCACAAATGAACAGACGATTTGTTCCCGTTCCAATAACATTTTCTGTTAATTAAGTTAGTGAAATGGCTTAGCAAAATTTAACCATAATTGAAATTAACCATAGGAGTGCTGCCATAGCACCTTGTCGCTCTTAAGTGATTTTTCTTCCACTTTTCAGGATCGATTTGAAATTCCTTTTTCTTTTTTGGTGGACTACAGTTTTTCCACTGTCGTCTCGTTCAGGAACTTGAGAAGTATATTTGGGTAGTTACTTGTAGGGACATCTTTTCATGTTAGTTATATGCCTCCATCCCTCAGTAAGGTATTGGAACTAGAATCTGTCAGCTACCGGTTAAATTTCAAAAACTTAAACTTATGGGTTTCAGCTCTAGTTTTTCATGATACTTAACCAGTAAAATACCTTTATATATGTTTGGTTTTTCTAAGTGAATATTTCCAAATTTGAGAAAGTACTGTTGATATATTTATCTCATGATTTTGAAGTCCCTACACTAATTAGTTAAAAGTTGATAGACTCTGCTTTATTTCCATGTATCTAGATTGGTTAATCTGGTAGTATTTGTAGTTTAAAACTAGCAGATTAATTTATATTTGGTTGTCAAAGTCAATATTCAATATCCTTGTTTACTGCTTATGCTTCTTGGTTGTTTACTGTAGACCATTACTTTTTTATTATTTTTTTCAATGGTGGGAATCAGTGTATCCATAGATGCTTACGATGCTGAGAAAGATTTGCAAGTTTCTTCCATTATATCAACTTTAGCATTATAATAATTCATTTTGTCATACTTTTACAATATCATTTAGTTCAAGTACATGCACTTTATATGTAGAACAGATTTATAAGTACGACTTTTGTTCCATCTTTTTTAATTTTCAAAGTTAGATCCTGAAACGGTAAAGCACCATCCAAGCTATCGTCAAGTTGAATTGGACACATGTCGTATGACAAGTTTAATGCCTAAGAATTTAAATCCTGAAGAAATCGAAAGTATACAACGAATTGTTACTCGTCTAGTGATATCTGTATTAGTGGATAATCCTTCTTTACATTATTATCAGGTACATGTAAATATATCTATGCATATTGGTCTTTGCTGCTTCAATTTAAGGCTGCTACATTTAATTGGTTACCAGTTTTTACACTAATTTTTCATTAAATATCATCTTTAAGAATATATGTTCCTTTAACTATAGTTGACAGTATCAAATATTGAATGTATCACAATTTGTTTTTAACACACGACCCATTAAATGGTTTTCTTATTTACTTTCCGCTTCAGTTATAATCCAAAAATATTATTGGTCATTAAATTAATTACATGTATTTTACTTATTGCTTTCTAACCACCTCATAATTAGGACTATATACTTTCAATATGCACTACATTTCCTGATTTTTGCCATAAAAAAGAGGTTTTCATCAGTGTCTCATCATATATATTTCAAATCCTCAACTTAAAATCTAACTTGTTGTAATTATTGCTTTAGTATCGTTGGGATATCTCATTTATCCCTACAACATGTCCATCATATTTCAGCAATTTGTGGTTATTTTCTCTGTTGAACTTGGTACTTTGAGTTTTTTTGGAATATGCAAGTAATTGTAGCAAAAGATTGATTTCACTCCTTCTGAACTGTCTCTTTGATCCATAATAGTTTGTCTCTTCTGGGCCATACAATTAGAAGTACAATAAAATATAGCTGTACAACTGTCATAACAGTAATGATGATCACAATAAAATTATTACATTTATTTATTAGAAGTGACTTGATAGTGATAATCAGTCATTTCGGATAAAAGTTTAGTCATAGAAATGGTTTTATGATAATTAAATCTTGGAAACAACTGTATAATCAACCCAACTGACCAAAAGTTGAAAGCTAACACACAGTTTCAGAGTGGAGAGTTTTACAGCCTTCGGTGAGATTTCCAAACTGGCATTTTGGACAGCGAGTGATGAAAATTTATACTGTTCCTATTAATAATATCAAATTTATTATTATCACTAGCATACTAGTATTGAATCGATGAAGTTAGTTCTTCCAAGATATTATTTTACGATAAATAGGAATACACGGAGAAGGCATATGTTATGACTCAATTGTAACTATAAATTTCCAACCGTACTAAATGTTTTATCAGTAACAAAATAGAACCACAATAAAAAATCGTTGAATGTAACAGATTATTTTCAAAGTATGTTGTAAGTTCTGGAAATGATTTATCCTTCTCATAAAATTACCTATGTATGATATTGTAGTGAACAGAACACTGTTGGGGACAATCAAATGTATTTAAGCACAAATTACAGACTATCTCACTAAATTCTGATAACCATACAGCAAACAGTTAATTTGCAAATTAACAACCAATTGTCTCAATCTTCACTGTTCCTTCTGTTAATATCGGTTCATCTTCTCTAATTTCATTGTTCATGCATTTTCTTACCGATTGCGCCTCATTTCAGTTCTTTCCTTATCGGTCTTTTGCCAAAATACATTCTATGTCTGACCATCGCCATATACTACTTATATAGATATAAGTAAACCACACTACAATATAACTTCATGATTTTTATAATGATTGTTGACAAATTTCGATCAAATATTTCTCATTCAACATGTTTTTCACTTTAATTATGTTTGAACGCTTTTTTGACTATTCACTTCGTTTTAATGTTATAATAGAATTTATTCATTTTATTGCCATTTTTCATCTCTGTTTATCGTCTTTATTTTCAAGGGTTTTCATGATATTTGTTATGTGTTCTTTTCGGTTTTGGGTGAAAAAGAATCTCGAATGTTGCTAAATAAATTGATCCCTACTCATTTCAGGTAAATATTCATACAGAGAATTATTGCAAACATTTTCCATTCTTAATAACTAAATGTTTTGTATTGTTGCGACGTCTGGACATGTTTTGATACAGGATGACGGTGTTTCAGATTTGATATCATAAATAAATACGTAGCAGGTAGCGATTTATCATACTTCATATGAACACTGAGAAGCGAAATTTGAATAGTGAACTAAAGTTATTCAGAGTAGGATATTGGAATATTATAACATTATGACATATGTGGATTAATAATTCCTAATAACGTTAAGTATTTAAAGCACAAAGATATTACATTAATTTTTTAAACGGCTTATATCATCCTCTTATTTCCATACTACAATATATCAATAACTAATTATATAGTTATCAGGTCTTATGGTATACATACTTTAAGGAAACGTAGATTTTTTCGTGCTATTTAGATACCTGACATTTATTTGCTGAATAAAATAGGGGTATGGTTGATAGTGGTAGTGGTGGGGAACCATTTACATAGGTTTAAATAAATTGCCAAAGTAATTCGTGAAGGTTATTAGCCTTCAGATTGAGTCTTATAATTACATATATGTTAACCTAATGACTGGAGACCACGTCGTACCAAACATCAACTCCTGGGATACAGGTGGGAATAAAGCAGTTGTATTGTTAAACACATGAAAATATTCACTCGGGCTTTTTATTTTTCAAGTGATGTTGAATTAATTCATGATGTCTACAAAGCATTACTGTTCATCAATCATAAATCTTATAAGAATAAAATATTTTAACTTCTTTCAGAATTTGGAACCCAGATTATTTGAAGCACTTTTATGTACAGATGTAGGAGATTAGTGTGAAACTGAAATGTCTTTGTTTGGTCAGCTCTATCATTAGACTTTATGGACACAGATTGATTTATCTCTTGACCTCTATAAAGACTTTTGAGGTCAAAGTGTTAGCCATGAGTAAAAGGTGTTCATTAGCCTAGAGTCAATGAGAAATTCATTTGAATACTATTGATACTTTTTGAATAGGCTTACAGGACTTAGAAATAGTATGGTCAAATCATGAGGATGATACATAGCAATAATAACTAACGATTTGGTTAATTTAAACTTTGAAAATGTACAAAGCTTATAACTGGCAACTCGCTAACCATAACTAAATTAAATTGATTAATTCATTGTTGATTAATTAAGCAGATATATTATAGTTTTATGTAAATTTTTTTCTAATATATGAGTAACGTTTGTTAAAATAAACTTGCAGAATAGCCTTAAATAGCTAGGATTATAAGTCAACTAAATGTCATATATATTTGTCTAAATATCTTATTAGTTTCTTTTCTAAGATAGCTATTAAATAATTTTTGTTTTAAATTCACATTCTTCATAGTTTATTCATGCAGAAATCTATGGATGTAACTCTAGAATACATGCAATTGATATTCGCTTTGTTAGAACATGTTTCAACTTCTGTACTGAATAGTATAGAATCTGTTGATTTAGGCCCAGATTTCGCTATTGCTTGGATTATCACTTGGTTTGCGCATGTTCTACCTAATATGGATGATGTTAGACGCCTGTTCGATTTATTTTTAGCAACAGATCCCATCATGTTGGTTTATGTTTCAGTTGCTGTGAGTTTGTATTATTTAAAAAAAAAAAGGGATTTCGTAAAAGATTTCACTACTTTAATGTAATAGGATATTAAAAGGGCGAATAATATAAAGTCGATTCATCTTTTTCCAGAATTTTCTTTATGGTTTCTATTCTGGACAGTTACCTCATACTACCTTATGACCTTTTGTTATAATTTCTCTTATTACGACCCAGCTATTCCTATTGTTTAGTAATCTTGGACACCAATTCATTCGACAAGTTCCCAAATCAGAACACTGTCGAACAGGAAGAAATTATATTCCAAATAACGAGGGTAGATGGAAGTAAGAAGTACAATAAGAAAAACGTTAGTATATTTATACTTTTCACACGAAAAGATTCTAGAGTCTTTTCGAAGTATCCACTAGCACTGATTGGTTAAGAAATAACCAATCAGCGTGCCCCAACATAATCCTTCACGGAACGTGTTTAATCCAATCTTTATTTATTTATTTATTTATTTATTTATTTATTTATTTATTATTATTATTATTATTATTATTATTATTATTATTATTATCATTATTATTATTATTAGCTTTATTCAATATTTTTGGTACAATATAGAATTCTCAGCACAAAGTACTTCAACAAGTTTCCGTTTCTTACTTCTTCGTCCTTCCTGACGATAAATATTGAGTGATCGCCAGTTAGACGTTAGCAGCTCAGTCAATCGACATCTGGATAATGTACATTCTTCTCGCTGCATATTGCCAGCAACCACGATATCTCTGATTAGGCTTTCTGTAACCTTTACAGCGAAAGGTCTTACACTTTTCAGAAACGCACCTGGATAGGTTGTGCGATTAATAGGCATAATGATGTATTAAAACAAACGAAATTAGATAACTTGTTGAAATATCTAGATGACAGGAACAGGTAGCCCAGATGTTTAAACACGCCGCCAATGTTTATTCCGCTAACACCTTTAATCATAATCAATTATGGATTGATAGTGTTTTTGCTTATGGTAATGACTATGATTAATGACCTTTAGAGTTACTTAGGCTTAGTTTTCAAATTTATCGTTATTGTTTACTTAATTACTCCTGTTACCCCTCATAGAGGAGCATAGGCCGCCAACCAGCATTCTCCATTCAACTCTGTCTTGGGAAATCCTTTCCAGTTGTTATTCATTCTTTTCATATCTGCTATTTCCCGACGCAATGTGCTCTCTGGCCTTCCTCTTTTCCGCTTCCCTTCAGGATTCCAAGTTAGGGCTTGCCTCGTAATGCAGTTTGGTGATTTCCTAAATGTATGTCCGATCCACCTCAAACGTTGTTTCCTAATTTCTTCCTCAACTGGAAGCTGGTTTGTCCTCTCCCACAGAAGGCTGTTGCTTATGGTATCAGGCCAGTGAATGTTGAGTATTTTGCGTAGACAACTGTTTATAAATACTTGTACCTTCTTGATGATGGTTGTAGTAGTTCTCCACGTTTCAACTCCGTACAGTAGGAATATCTTGGCGTTCGTATTGAAGATTAGGACTTTGATATTGGTTGACAGTTGTTTTGAGTTCCATATATTCTTCAATTGTAGGGATGCGGTCCTTGCTTTTCCAATCCTCGCCTTTACATCTGCATCAGATCCTCATTTTTTATCAATGATGCTATCCAGGTACGTGAATGTTTCCACATCTTCCAGAGTTTCTCCATAAAGTGTGACTGGGTTGGTGTTCTCCATGTTGTATTTGAAGATTTTGCTTTTCCCTTTGTGTATGTTGAGGCCTATTCATGCAAAGACTGCAGCTACATCTCTTGTCTTCGTCTATATTTGTTCGTGTGTACGAGATAGGAGGGCTGGGTCATCTTCGAAGTCCAAATCGTCTAATTAATTTTGAGATGTCCATTGTATTCTGTGCTTCCCGTCAGATTTCGGGGTCTTCATAATCCAGTCAATCACCATAAGAAAGGGAGAGTAGAGTAGATAGCTTTGTCTGACTTCGGTCCCTACTGGAAATACATCTGTCAACTGTCCTCCATGCACAACCTTGCACTGTATTCCGTCGCATAAATTCTGAATCGTGTTGACAGTCTTCTCAGGAACTCCATGCGTCGAAGAAGTTTTCATAATGTTCTCCTGTCCACACTGTCAAACGCCTCCTTATAGTCAATGGAGTTGATGTATAGTGATGAGTTCCACTCAACTGATTGTTCCACGATGACCCGTAGTGCCGCAATTTGATCTGTGCACGACCAATCCTTACGGAATCCAGCCTGTTGATCTCAAAGTCGGGCGTCTACTGCGTCTTTCATCCGGTTGAGCAACACTCTGTTGAAAAGTTTTCCTGGTACTGATAACAAACTGATGCCTCTGTTATCCTCACATTTGCTCAGATCTCCTTTCTTTGGTATCTTGATGAGATGTCCTTCTTTCCAGTTTGTCAATGGCACTTGTTCTTCTTCCAAATCTTCTTGAATAGAAAGTGAAGCATGTTTGCAGTTACTTCAATGTCTGACTTCAGTGTTTCAGCTGGTATATTGTCAGTTCCTGCTGTCCCATTCTTCATTTGTCTAATGGCCATCTTGATTTCTTCCGTCGTTGGTGAAGTGACATCTATAGGTGGGTCTGTGTGTGCTGATTCCGTGTCCGGTGGATTCAATGGGTCTAGTCTATTCAACAGTTGCTCGAAGTATTCTACCCATCTTCTCTTTTGTTCTTGAATCTCCGTGATTATCTTTACTTCCTTGTCCTTGACTGGTCTCTCTGGTTTACTATATCTCCCTGCTAGTTTCTTCGTTGTATCATATGGTTGTTTCATATTTCCTTCTCTTGCAGCTTTTTCCATGGTCGTTGCCAGTTCTCCCATGTATTTCTGCTTATTGGCTTTAATACTCTTCGCCACTTGCTTGTTTGCTTCTGTGTACTCTGCTTTTGCCTTGACTTTCTCTGCTCGTGTTCGGCTGTTGTTAGTTGCTGTCTTCTTGTTCTTCCTTTCTTCAATCTTATCCTGGGTTCCCATAGAGATCCATCCCTTATGATGATAATTTCTTGCAGCCCAGAACCTCCTGACATGTTGAAGTTAATGTTTCTTTGATCCCTTTCCAGTTGTCCTCCATAGTAGTTTCTTGTTCTTTCAGTGGATTCTGTAAAGCTTGGAACCTGTTGCTGAGAGTTATCTTGAATTCGTTGAGTTTGTTAGTATCTCTAAGGAAGGCTGTATTGAACCTTTGTAATGCTGTTTGTCCAGTTGTCCAGTCTTTCTTTAGCTTCAGTCTCATCTTGGCCACCACCAGATGGTGATTTGAAGCTATGCCAGCTCCTCTCCTGGTTCTCACATCTTCCATTGTCCTTCTTAATTTTTTGTTGATACAAATATGATCTATGTGGTTCTCTGTGGTGTGGTTCGGCGAGATTCATGTAAATTGTATAATAGCGTTAAATATTTTCACCTGAGAGGATAGATCAGTTACATTGGGCTGGTGGTCGATATGGTTGATGTACACAAACTCATGAGTTTGGAATTCATCGATATTCACTGTTATGACTAGCAGTGTCCGAAGTTAATACTGATACAAAAAATTCTTATGCGGAGAGTGATTCCTTGTAATTGTGCGGAATAAAGTATTGCCTAGACTTAATTTGGTTCTCTATTTTCGGTCGTGATTCGGGTATCGGGTATAACGTGATCTAGTCTGTATATAACTTGCAAATCGAATATCCAATCCAGTGCTAGTATAAACTCGGTCACCAGTCTTATCGTAGTATACCGTAAAACGAGAGGAAAGATTTTTATTCATCCGTTATGTCACATCAATACTGAAGTTCAAGTACATCCAGCTAATGGATCCAAAATGCGATTGAACGTGCCTCCTGTATTCTATTACTGGACACATACCAAGAATACTAAATGATTGTATGTTGTTTATTTTTTTTGTTTATACACTTTCTATGATTATCTTTTTACTCTTTAATAACTAATGTACTATTGTTGATTAAAAAAAAATTAAAATTATCCCCCTTTTCATAGATAATTACTATCAGTGCCAAAGAAGTGGAATCAACACCGTTGGATTTCGCTCTTTTGTATCAAACACTTGCACGTCTACCTAAACTACATCCTGTCGAGGAGCTTATCCGTGAAGCTTTAAAAATCTACATTGATTTAGAACCAGACAAATTGATTGAATTAGGCAATAAACGTATTCTAAAATATCGTGAACAAAAATTACTAAACCGATCACCAGTAATACGTCAACCATTTTCAAAATCTACAAATAAACATATATTATGGGGATTAGTTACACAACATCAAAGAACTATTCTTTCTCTTAGTTTTATCGTCATTGTCATTAGTTATTTATTAAATAAAAGTTTAAAAGACTAGAAAAAAATAATGTAAAAAGACCTAATTATCATTGTTCATAGTTACGTAATAGAATTGATTATTTTTCAAGTTATTTTGTCAATACTTTATTCAACTTGTTATTATTTCTTGAGAATGTGTTCAACATAAGCTGATGTATGAAGTATGTTCACCTCGTTCATTTCAGAAACCTTTCTTCCCTTCTTTTTCATCTTGTTTTATGTTTTTTATTATTATGAATATTCTATGTTTATATGCTATTGTTGGTGAATTGTAAGGGGAATAAGGAATCTGTTCGTTTTTCTCCTTAGGAAACTTTATGATGATAATAATTTCATTATTTATTTTTATTATGATTGTTTTGTTTCTTTTTGATAAATAAATTTATGGGACGAATATTTGTTCTGATATGATAAAAGACACTGTTTCAATTAATTTACTAGTTTGTTTTGCCTATTAAATGAATGTAATATACTGTTATATTCAAAACTGATGTCTCCTAGAGTTGATTCTATTAGTGTGAAGTGCATGATTGTCTTCGTGATGCGTGGGTAAATCGAGCAAATTTCATAAGCTTATTGAATTCAATCCCTTAGTTGAATATCTCCCAGTTAATTAACAAGACAGATATCCCTCTATCTATTCATATGATTATGTATGGTGAATATGGAAATATCGCAAATTTAGAAAAATCAAGGGATTACAATACCCTTAAAATTTTGGCATTCAGGATAATTACTAGTTTACACATCTTATGACACAAATTCATTGCTATTATCCTTAAAAGTAATTTATTGTTTATTTACTTCCCTAGATTTGTCTGATCATCCAGTGAACTTTAACATTTTGCTTCATACGGCAATGAAATTAATTCGTATCTCATCATTTATCATGCTGGCCAAATTATATTTACTATTATTATTCTCTTTGGTGAATTCGGATAAGAATGTTATTTTAAATAACAATCCGTCTGATTTTTATCAACAATTAAATGCTTGGCCAGATTTTCAGTTGGCAGCATTCACTGATTTAAATGCTGATCGTCGAATGGATATTATATTTGCCAATGGTGATGGTTCAAAATTATTTGCTGTTCTACAATCTGATAATAAAGGTTTTCAATCCACTTCATCAATACTATCTAGTGTGAAATTTTCTCCACCTGTTGAAGTAATTGGTAGTGTTTTACCTAAACCTGTCCGTGGTGTTGCTACTTCTGATTTTAATGGAGATTCTCGGATTGATCTTTTATTAGTCACCGGTAGTTCAGACGGAGGACCATTTGATGTCTATGTAGCTTATGGCTTAAGTGGTGAAAATCGTGGGAAATTCGGTAGGTCAACAGTGATATCTATTTTGTGTTATGAGATCATATATTTTTATGATTTCTAATTCTTACACAAATCAGCTTTATAGCGACTCACGAAAATACAAGTTAAATCAATAGACAATAAATCGTGTTTGTGGAGGTTTGCGTTGATAATTCAGTTCAACTGCTCATATTGACAGATTTTAAACATGGCATTTGAAAGAAGAGGGAATATATGGGTTACTAGTGCTTGAACTTTGATTTTTTTTAAGCATTCCTCGGTTTCGATGGAACAGCGCAGGGAGCAATGCCAGAACTAGATATTTAGGTCTGACAGGTGAGCTACATCTAGGTATTTGAAAAATAGCTATTTCTTTAACTTAATTTTGTCTTATCATGTTATCGCTTTTTCTAAGTAGATTAGATATTTCACCAAAACAATGTGACCTTATCATTGTTGAACCAAGTACGTGAGAGATTTTACTTATTCTCGTGGTTGAAGGGAATTTATAACTACATTCTTTTTCTTAAAATAGTTTACTTTAAAATGTTAAAGATAGACATTACTTTCAATGTTGTTATATTTTCTTTCTTTTAATTTCTAATAAATGTTCAGATTCACCCATATTTTTGGATACTTTTACTTCTCAACCATTAGTATGCGATTTAGATTCTGATATGGTTGCTGATGTATACGGTGAAGTGTCAGGACATCGAGTAGCATATATAGGCGGGTATGTTAATTTCTCGATTTTCTTTGTTCTTTAAATATAATCAAAGCTTTGTTGTCGACTGAGTTTTAAAGGTTTAGCTTTTTATCATCCCAGTTTGTTTTTTATTAAAGTATAATTTTAATGATTGAATTCATGAGTCCATCTTAATTAGGACACTATTGAAAACCTGGAAGCACTGGATGGCCGCTTCGTCCTAGTGTGGGACTTTTCATCAGTGCGCATCCGCGATCCCACATGTGGGACTTGAACCCACGACCTTCAGTTTCGCCCGCGAATGTTTGACCTCTAGACCACTGATCCTACATCCAACGGTGTTAATGTCTAGCTTCAATCGATCCATGATCTTGCGCAGCCCTTCACCTATCGCCTAAAGTGAGACATTAACACCTTTGAATGTCGGGTCAGTGGTCTAAAGGCTAAGCGTTCACGCGCGAGGCCGGAGGTCTCGGGTTTGAATCTCGCGAGCGGAATCGTGGATGCACACTGCTAAGGAGGAGTCCCATACTAGGACAAAACGGTCGTTTAATGCTTCCAGGTTTTCAATGGTGTTCTAGCTTACATCGACTCGTGAATTCAACTATTAACATTAATACGTTCTCCACAAATCCCCATTCTGATGAAAAAACAATTAGTGATATGCGAAAAATACTTCAATATACTTGTCTTATTGTGTGCCAAATTTATCCACACTCATGTTGAATTATCAGCTCAAACTCTGCTGTGCATCCGGTTAGAATTTTATCACCATACCATTCGTAAGTTATAAAATAAATTATACAATAGAAAACAAGTTAAATGACTCAGTTGGTGAATATATGTAACGTTGTTATAATTTAATTTCTATTTAGAACAAGATATACAAGCGAACAATATTGCTCTGTCAAGCTCTGTTATGAAGGAGAATTTCTGTAATTTGAGTAGATGAAATTTTAATTGTTAAAATTGATGAATAGAATGCTAATCGATAGATGAACGCAATGATATAATATGACTGAGTGATGGTTGCTCACGAGACCACATTACTGACTTAAGCCACTCGAGTGATTAGAAATGAAAGAAAAGACCACTAACTAGATGAATAGTTTTCCATGTAATATAAGGACATGCTTATATTACAGAATATAAATGAAAAATAAACATAAAAGAATGTTATAAGCGATTAGATGAAATTAACTTGTAATTCATTCATTCATTCATCAACCAATTGAGACTAGACTGTTATCTTTAATGTTTGGGCATTGTATCAACTTCAATGCATTGTCGTAAATTCCATTCATTAACTTCCAGTATATGCCAGTTTTATTTAGTGAATTAATTTTCAATGGAGTTTCTTTCCACTGATTATTTCAGTAAGATTTTGTTTACTGATAATTACTAAGTGAGTAAAATTCTGTGGTTAATAATCACTGAATTGATATGTAACTGATATATCTTAGACGCAAATTCAGTTTACTTTGGTCTTGTTGAATCCTTTGGAATAGCTGGGGGTCGGCTAAAACCAGTAGAACTATTGTATATAGTCTCGCAGTTGTCGTTAGAGCTATCATGGTATATTTCTCATCCCTAATACTCCTCTCCTAAGATTTATCATGTTTCATAACCTTAGAAGAGTCAGTAAATCGATTAAAGCATGATTATATCTGTTTCATCCTATGTCTGGATGTGTAATTTCTAATAATAATGGTGGTTTTCTTTATTTTTTTCAATTAAATATGTACGCATAATTCCTAAAGAGCAAAACAAAATTACGGTTTGATAAGTTTAATTCATGAAGAAAATAATGTACATAAATAAACTGTTATATCGATTGCTTGAGTGCCCTGTTAAATATATGAACGTGATAAGTCCGCCAACCACAGAGGAGTGAATTTTATCGATCAAAGCAATGATACACAAAAGCCGTATGAGCAGTCTTGAGTACTTGTCAGTCCTGCTTTCTGCCTAGCCCAGCCAGTAAAGTCCAGAACACCAATAACAGCCTCCGCAATATATGAATCATTCTCAAACATACTGGTTTTATATGCCAAACAAACTGACCACATCGTACCATAAAATAGAAAATAAAATTTCTACAAGATTCGGCCAAATGTGGCTGTGAATAGGGGGAACAGTAATTAATGGACTAGGGATAGCTTAAGAATGGCAAATCGTATAATAATAGTCCATAGGTCAAAATAAAGCTTATGATAAGAGGGACACGAATATGAATAGTTTAGTCACTTAACAAATATACAATATCAGAAGGGGTTTTGTGGGGATTTAGTATATTTCATAGTAGAAAGCATGAGTCAATTGAAGCTAGACCACCATGGAAAATCTGGAAACACTGGACGGCCGTTTCGTCCTATTATGGGACTCCTCGGCAGTGCGCATCCACGAACCCGCTCTCGCGAGATTCGAACCCAGGACTTACCGGTCTCAAGCCGAAGCCCTTAACCGATAGACCACTAAGCTGGCATCCAACGGTGTTAATGTCTAACTTCAACTGATCCACGAAGTTGAGCAACCATTCACCAATTGCCTGGATGTACTCCACGACTGTCCAGTGTTTCCAGGTTTTCCATGGTGGTCTAGCTTCAATTGACTCATGCTTTCTACTATGAAAAATACTAAATCTCCACAAAACCCCTTCTGATAATTAATATAATCATATGCTCACTAGTGACCTCGAGAAGTATATCTAGGAGCTCTAGTGAGAAGCAGTGACCAGTGGAGTTCAAAACCACGTCTGTTGTGAGATAGGAACTCACTGAAGACAATTGGTGAATGGTTGCTCAACTTCGTGGATCAGTTGAAGTTAGACATTAACACCGTTGGATGCCAGCTCAGTGGTCTATCGGTTAAGGGCTTCGGCTCGAAACTGGTAGGTCCTGGGTTCGAATCTCGCGAGAGTGGGTTCGTGGATGCGCACTGCTGAGGAGTCCCATAATAGGACGAAACGGCCGTCCAGTGCTTCCAGGTTTTCGATGGTGGTCTAGCTTCTATTGACTCATGATTTCAACTTTGAAAAATACTGAAATCTCCACAAATCCCCTTCTAAACATATAATATTAGTCCATAAATATTTCTCAAAGTTGCTATTCATATATCTCCAGGGAATATATATATATATATATATATATATATATATATATATATAATATTGGAAAGAAACTATTTAGTGAATCAGTTTGTGTATGTTCAGTCATTCTTAAACATCGTCTTATATCATGTAATTATAATTACATACTTATTTTTTATTAGTTAATTAATGTTTTATCTTACACAGTTGACAAGTAATAGTCACATGATTACAAAATGAAGTCATTTCATTTTGTAGCAAAGAAGTTCCTTATTATGTACTGTTTGAAAGTTTTGCATTCTAAAATTTAATAGTTTAATATTCTAATTATACAGTTATATAGACTATAAATTGAAATAATAGGAACTTATTTCCAACTGGCTACTTATTTCAGTAGTTGAGTTCATCAGTCAATTAAAGTTAGACCTCCATGGAAAACCTGGAAGCACTGGACGGCCGTCCAAAAAGTGATTCCAACTTTTCCATGGTGGTCCAGTTTTAATCGACTCATGAAGTCAACTATTAAATTACTACCATCTTCACAAAACCCCTTTCTGGCAATAATCATCATGTGATCACTAGTGAATGGTTTCAAGAGTTATTTCCTGGAGTTCTAGTGAGAAGCTATGACCAATGGAGTTCAACCAGGTCCGTTGTGAGATAGTAACTCACTGAAGATAATGGTGGACAGTGGTCATTTATGCTTGAGTTTTATGTGATCATAATTTTTAATACTTGTAGATCCTTAGAATTTAACTTGTTCACATTCATTTATTAAATGATTATATTATAGAAATAAGCTTACGAAATTATCTGCTACCTATTCTGGCCCTTCATGGTCTCGACTTGGTTATTCAGCTTTCGGGGATGTTAACGGAGATGGTGTTCCTGGTAAGCTAGCTATTCAATTGGAAACTTGTCTCATTTTTATTGTATTGAAAAGCTTGTTTTTCATTTGCTTTTTTGGTTTTACACTATCATATAAAAATTTGTATTATAATTAGAATATAACACTTCGTAAATAGATTTACTTTTCATAAAAGTTGATATGTAATTACATATATTGTTGTATTTTCACTTTAAAATTCTCTTTTAAAATATTATTCATATATAAGTGTATTCTTTGTAATCAATGTTAATAGTATTATGGGACAGTCGGTTAGTGAATAAAACCACTCGACTTCCAACCAATAAGTCTCAGATTTAAACCCCTTATTCCATTTACTTCGGTTTGGACAGCTGAGTAGTTTCATTAGCCATAACCTAAAAATTGTTGCTAGAATCGGATTACATAAACCTGTCCGCTTAGCAGATGAGATGCATAACACTCAGGTAATCTTGTAATATATTTTACTTAGAAAATAAAATCGTTTTTAATTTTTGCAGTGTTTAGGTTTAAACAAATATCTTCAATAGTACATGTTTACATAATAAAGGCAATCAAACAAGCTTTCTTCTAGCCATAATTCCAGCATCTGTTAGATATCCGTTTTACTACTAAAGTAATTGTCTTGTCTGTATTTGGCTCCTCTTTCCTTTGATGATCTTATTGATTAGACAAATATATTTAGTAAAACCATTGTTTCTTGTATCCGCTTTTTTGTGTAATAAAGATAATAGGTCGCTTCTGTCATATAGTTTAGCTCCTAGAAGGGAAAAGTAAGAATATAATCGATGAAAAATAATGCATTACGTTGACAGAATGAAAGAATTAGCAAAATTCAAGTTGATATTTAACATGATCAACATTGAATTTTCCTACACATTAGTTAGAGGAAATTCTCACTAAAATGCGACAAGAAATTCTCTGTGGAGGCCAATAGAATATTACCAATAATTTACTTCTATAAATAAGTTATGATGCTGAAGTACATGACAAATGCATATATATCATACTTCCAACACTTCTGCTTCTCATATAATATTTCAATGCAAGATACAGGTTGCCTTCTGTAGACTTAAGCACCTTAGTCATGTAATCGGTACTGGTGTATTAGTGCTCAAGTGTTTTGTTTTGGGTAGCAATTTACTTGGGTATACCTAAACAGTTTATCGTTAAAATAACAGTTTAAAATTACACTTCAGTATTTTACTGAACGTCAATATTTTTATTATCACATTACCAGTGCCGTAAATTTAAAAATTTAGTTTTTATTTGGTATGCTTATGTTTTGTTTCAACTGAGAGTAATTGCTAAGACTAGCTGTCAATCAAGCTTACAATTTTGTATATTCATATACTTACTTTTCATGAATGACATTTATGTAGATATTGTAATCCTTGTGGATAATGAGAATAGACAACAATTACAGGTGATACTACGTACTCAATCATCAATTGGTTCTTTGCCTGATGTAACTAATGGTGAATTAATTGATCTTGATCCTAAGTTATTAAGTACTCCACAATCTGTTTTGGGATTATTCGTGTTGAATGATTTCGGTAAGTATTTGTTGTTTAAATTTTAGACCAAGTTTAAAGTTATAAAACTGGAGTATGTATTGTCAGTAAAACAGTCATAGAGTCTATTCATAACTAAACGGCGTTTAATTGGATTCTCATCTTCTTAACATATAGGAGAGGTTCCAATGGTCAAACTGCGACTGGTTACATGAAAGAGATTTTTTCTTATTAACTGTTCAGTTTGATAAATCCACCTTAAGTTTGAAGCATTCACCTTGGGCATAATAGACAGGACCAACATGTTTCTAATATGAAAGTCTGCGCAATCTAAGTTTACTAATTCACGGAATTCAGGAATAGATTTCAACATCACGTAGTTACTAAACCACTAATTGATCCGAAATCCACCTACGACCGATATCCGTAGGAGTTATTCTGCCAATTAAACTTCTTGATCAACCGTTATGACATCATAGATAATAATTGATGTGGAGATTATCGTCGATAACTGACAGAGTACTTAGTTCTGCCTGTGAATTTGTGCATTATAAATTTATTTCTTATAAGCAACTCGGATTTATTCTCTTCAATACCTTTGTTTTTGGTCGAATATTAGCTTGTTGAGTTAGTAATCTAGCATTTAATTCTGTAAAGGAGCTCATGTAAGGCCATGTCATCCTTGGAAGTATGGATAGGATAACGTTCACCTATAAACACTTCATCCATTTTCTAGGTTGTCCAAAAATTCTTTAGTAAGGTTTGATCAGTTGACTTTGATTTATCATAGCAAACTTAGTTCTGATAAAATTCAATGAACCCAGTCGAAGTACTCTGAAACACATTCAGTAATATCCAAATCTTGATAAGTTACTTACTTTTTACTTGTATTATATTTTAAAATAATAACATATTACCGGTCAAGGTGGGACTATGCTATACCCTTTAGCCAATCAGGTTCTAAGCGTGAAATTTTAAGTCTTGATGGACGATTAAATCAAACTGATGTTGAATGTCGACCGTTTAATCAATAATTTATAAAACAATATCATCATAGAGTAGTAGTTTAGATGTAGAGACGAGCCTGTTTTATAAACGGACTCAGTTATCTAAGTATACCATATTTATCTTGAGATGTGAAGGTCTTAGATTCGTTCCTGTACTGGGTCATAGGTGCTTAATGAGGTATCTTCAACTACTACAAAACAGTTACTCTGTATTGTAATCAGGTTTTTAACTTTAGATCTGAGCTTGTAATGATTGACATTTGTTCTGTTCTTATGTGAATCTGTTAAGTTATTGTGCCAAATAGTAATGTACATAAGAGTAATATTGTTGACGGAAATTATTATTATTATTACTATTATCATTATTATTATTTGATTTTTCTACTATGGTAGACTATGATGGTTTAATTGATTTACTCCTACCTGTATGCAGAGACGCTAAATGTTTGGATACCAGTAGTATAAACATGTATTCTTTCAGAGATCGAAAGGTAAGCTTTAGCTTCTCAGTGTTATATTATTATTATTATTATTATTGTTATTATTATTATTAAATCACATAAATATTGGTACAAGGGGCCACCGAAATATGTATGCGCCACACAATAAAAATGAGATTGTGAAGAGGTAGAGAAAGGAAATTGAGTATGGTAAAATGAAACACAACAATGAATAGAAATCTGCATAAAAGTGAAATAATAATAATAACTATGATTATTATCGTTATGTGAGAAACAGTTCAGTTAAGAAAAATACAACCAGAAAGGATTCTTCCAGTTAAAGAAGTTATTTTCACTTCTATGATGAAAGTAAAAGAAAGTTACAGCAGGATCGCCACCAGCTTTTTTGTGATACTTGTCTGATAACATATTAAGCCACTGTGTTGCCCCATCTTTGGAACCCCAACCTGGGAGTCATGAAGGTTCAACAGAAGCCAGCCTTGTGCAGCTTTCTTTCATACCACGACACCATGTCACACACTGATCATCTCTCCGGTTTTTCCAACTAGTCCTAGTGCGATATGGAATTCTCTGGGACGACACTCGTATGACATATCCAAGCCATCGAAGTCGGTGTTTCAAGATGATGACGTCAGTACAATTATCTTCGCTGTTCCCGAACACACGACGACGAACCTCTGTATTACAAACATGGTGTTGCCACTGGATGTCAGCAATCCTTCGGAGACAACGATGATAAAACACGGAGAGGCCAGGTTTTACAAGAGTAGAGCAAACCTGCTCTCACCGGCACGTTGTAGATCCAACCTTTTACATCCAGACTAACATCATGAAGGCACCAACGATAGCTCAGATTGGCGTATGCCATTTTGGCTTTCACTATATGTTATAATTGTATTTTGCTATATAAACGACCCAGCTATTCCTATTGCTTAGTATTCTTATACGATGACACTCGACAAGACCCCAAAATCAGAACACGTTGAACAGGAATGAAATTGTATTCAAAATAATAATGATAAGTAAACAGCAATCACTAGTTTAAATAACGTTCATATATTTATAGTATATACATAAGAAGCTTCTAGATTTTTCTCCAATAATATGCCCGGGCTGATCGGTTTATAATTAGCCAATCAGCGCGCAGCAACACCATCATGCATGAAACATGCATACATGCATACATGAAACATCCAATCTATGTCCCACTAACACCTCCCCCTTGAGCAGATTCGTAGGATCTGGTGCTAGGGTCCAACTGCAACCGAGTGACTGGCCTGCGCTTTCGATCTGTCCATCGTCTAGGCAATAAGGAAGTTGTGTCACTCTTTGCTTGCACAGAAACTGACTTGTCTGTTCCGGGCGTTTTGATTTCAAAGGTGTCTAGCAGAACGTCAAGAGGTATTCGATGTCGATTCTCGCTGCTGGCTATCGAAGTTGCTTTCGGTTGATTAGCATGACGTATCCAAACTTCTGAGCCAACTGACACCTCATAAACCACATTCCCTTTCTCACGATCCGACCAGCTGTCCACGTAGGATGTTTACCACGATAGTCCATAGCAAGTACTTTTTGACCCACCGTGAACAATCGTCTTTGTGCCCCATGGTGTCGATTAAACTGCTTTTCCATCGATAAGTTTCGTTGGGGTTCACGAGCTGGCGTCGGACGGATGACATCGAAAGTGTCCTTATTTTTCTGCCAAGTAACGCTTCCGCTGGAGAGACCCCATTTGTTGTTTGAGGGTTCGGTGTAGAACGGTAGATAAACAGGAACCTCTCTAAGATCTCATTGGTGGTACCCTCCTCTCTTGATTTTTTTAGAGCATTTTTGAACGTACCAACAAAACGTTCTACCTAGCCATTCGATTGCGGATGGAATGGAGGTGTTCGGATGTGCCTGATTCCGTTCTGCTGACAAAATTCTGAAAAGTTTTTTCTGACTTCATCTGACGACATTGGAGTGTTTCGAATTGCCGCTGCTGCTACACTCCGTATTTCTGGAACCTTTTTACCTGTCTTTTTTGTATATGAGGTGGTGTCTAATGATAGACACGACACGTTACAAACGCTGTTGATGGGTATATCCATTAATCCAAGCTTTTCCAACATATCTAGTCCAAGTAGATCAAGGTTCGGTCGTTCTGTTAGATAACATACCCCTTTACAGTTATTTCCATTGAAGGAAAATTCACATTGTAATTCGCCAACTAGTTTTAGTATGCCTCCAGATGCATTTTTAGCCGTTTTTTTCTATGGCTTCATTGGCGGCTTTCCCAGCAAGTTATACGTCTCTCTAGACACTAGAGTAATATCGGATGCTGTGTCTATTCGAAGACGAACCTCTATACCATTAATCTGGATCGTAACATACTTTCTCCGGATGTCATAGTCTGTTTGAAAAGCTGCTACCAGAGAAAGAGATTTATACTCGGCTGATTTCACCACACGTGAAGGACGTTTATACTTTTTCTTAGGCTGAGACGTACGATTCGGTGGACAATGGCCTTCTTTATGTCCACGTCTGTTGCACACCTGACATTTATGCTTCTTAAATGGACAGAACCGTACATAATGCCAATCGCCGCATAACCAACAGGCATCCGTTGGTTTGTTATGAGTTTTATTCGGCTTCTGACTTTTTAACCTACTGCAGGTTAAATTAGAATTTACCTGTTCAATTAACTGATTGTCGTGTCTGATGTTTTGTAGTCGTTTACACTCATCTGTCAATGTCCTGAGCGTGACGTTTGGGTCTTGGTCCAAACGAGTTAGAAGTCTGGTTCTAATTTCAGCATCTTGTGGCGACTGCAGAGCTTTGATGAATATAAGGCATCTAAATTGATCTTCTGTCAACGAGCGTAACTTGAACCGTTCACACTCTCTGTTGACGACGTCTGCTAGAGCACCATATTCATCGGCTTCACGTTTCACCAAATTCAGACACTGATATCGAATACTAAACAATGAGGAAGATTCGCCGAATATCTCTGACAACTGCGTTACTGTCTCCTCGAAAATGAGCTCTCGAGGTAACTTTGGCAATATATGATCAGCATAACGTGCATGCTCATTGCTTCCCAACTTACGCATCAACAATCGAGTCTTCCATGCGTCATCTTGTTGACAGAATTCTATTCTAAATGTATCTTCCCAACGCTTGAACCACATGAGAAAAGTATTTCCACTTTCGGGATCATATATGAATTCTGGGATGCTGCTAGCAACTGCATCACAAGAAGTACTTGAAACAGCATGTGAATTCGAGTTTTGGATGCTAAACTGTTGCATCAGAGTCTCCAACAACCGCATTTGTGCATCAAGTTGTGCTTGCTGTTGTAGTATTCGGCTGAGCTGGTCATCTGATATAGACACTTTGAATGAATTTTCCTTTTTCCTCGTCGCCACTGTTGTAATTGTATTTTTGCTATATAAACGACCCAGCTATTCCTATTGCTTAGTATTCTTATACGATGACACTCGACAAGACCCCAAAATCAGAACACGTTGAACAGGAATGAAATTGTATTCAAAATAATAATGATAAGTAAACAGCAATCACTAGTTTAAATAACGTTCATATATTTATAGTATATACATAAGAAGCTTCTAGATTTTTCTCCAATAATATGCCCGGGCTGATCGGTTTATAATTAGCCAATCAGCGCGCAGCAACACCATCATGCATGAAACATGCATACATGCATACATGAAACATCCAATCTATGTCCCACTAACACTATACATGAACTGATCTCATCACTTGCACCACCACTAGCACTTATGCAGCTACCCAGATACACGAACTTCTTGACTACTTCTATATGCTTACTACCTAGGGTGAGTTCAGGTTCAAGGTTGAAGGGTAGGACAATGTAATTGATGTTTTCGGGGCAAAAAACCAGTTGAACTGCTCCTCAAAAAACTCTACCCATCGTCCAAGACGTCGATGGATGTTAGTGATTGGTATTCCGTCATCCTCACAGATTGTTTCACTCACACCAGACTTCTTGCTGCCAGTGACTCGGATGAGTTGGAAGAGCTTCCAGCAGTTACCAGATGTAGCTGCTGCTTCCAACTTATTGCCACACTCCAACCACCAGGCTTCTCGGTCCTTACGCGAGCTTTGTTAAATTTTATTACGTAACAGTCTTCGTTTGTGGTCAAGCTCACAGTCATCCGGAGTAGACTGACGGGCCTCGATAAGTTATAAGGAGCCTGAAGAAACCCAGTACTTATAAGTGGGACGTTTCGTGAATCCACAAGCGACTTTACTCGCCATTTTCATGGCGTCATGCAATTGCAACCAATGCTCATCTATACTTTACGGTAGGATGATAGCTAGCCTTTAACCTAGCTCGGTTTGATATTTAGTTGCAACAGAAGCTGCAACCAGTCTACTGACATCGACCCGTTTAGGACGATGAATTCGTTTGCCACTGAAAAGTAAGGTAAGATTGGCGCACATCAAGGCATGATCAGAGTCCAGATGGATACTCCGAAACGGGTGGCAGTCTTCTACACAACCACGCCAGCGGTAGCTGATCGCGATGTGATCAATCTGAGTCCAGGCTTGAGATGCAGAGGGAGGAAGCCATGTGGCACATAGGCGATGACTATGCCGGTAGTTAGTGCTAGCTAAAAACAGGTCAGCGTACAATCGCAGTAGACTGTTCCCGTTATCTGACCAGGAACCAACAATTCCTCATCGGCTACCCAAACGACTCTCTTCTGTTCCTAGACGCCCGACTTGAGAATACAAGTATCCGGCTAGTACTACAATATCTGTCGGACGCTATTTCTGTAGAACTTTTAGCTGGTGGTAAAACTCATCCTTAATCGCATCCGGGCTGCAATCTGTGGGAGCATAAGCGGAGATGACGAATAGACATCGTTTCTCACACCGATTTCTCAGTACTTTGATGGGGCTCTCGAATTCAACAGCACATAAACGACTGTTAATAAGGATCCGATCGGTCAGTGCTAGTGCTTTCCAGAGCTCAGCTCTAAAGCTTAGTGCGACACCAATGCCAGCAAAACCAGACGAGGATGCCACAGGGTCCCCGGATAAACTCGCGTAAAACAAGCCTTTTGAAGCGACAGATGGAGAGCGAATTTGTAGTACTTCACTAGTCTTGAATATGGGTCTCGGATAGACAAAAGATATAGATGTTGAGACCTGAAGACAGCTAACTCTATTTGTTGTCAGATCTGCTTCAGTTCGCGAACGGTGAATGATGTTAGTTTGAATGGTATACATGGTTTCAGAAAGGCTGGTTCGGATTTTGTATTCAAGGGTACCACTCAACTTTTGACCAGTCACTGACTTGAGATCGTTTAAATAGGACAGAATTTCCACCACGGGCGAGCTGTTGTGTGAGTTGAGAAATAAAGGAATATACAAAACGGGAATAAAAGAATAAACAAGTAACGCAATGTAAAATAAAACGAGTATTAATCAGTATTTTTGAGTATGATTTTCGAGAATGAGAATTAAAGCGTTGGTGGTTTTTTTTAGTTGTAGCCATCATTTGGTTTGTATATGTGCTGGGATGTGCTGCCCAGGTGTCTAAGCCGAAGCAGGTGGTTTTCTTAGGGCCAACTTTCCGAGCCTTTGATTTAGTGGTCTCATCTACAAGGTAGTGGAGAAACGTTAGAAGATGCAGTATCATGGTGACCGGTGACCGAAAATAGGTCCATACGCTATTCGTATTTGGCTCTCAAATACCATCATTACACAATGGGTTTAACTGAAGTATTATATTTGAAGTCAAAAATGAGATATATCTTATCTTTATCAATTGGAGTCAAAATGAAGGTTAAAGGGCTATCGCAACTTCTTGGTCAGTGTCCCAGAGACTGAACATTTCATAAGATTGCCCTGGTATGGCCGAGAGTGGGGAGAGTCTACTCTCCCTCTCGAAATGCTCTCATATGGCCAGCGAATATATAGCCTCTGACAGGGAAGTCCTACTCACTGCCTTCTCGTGGCGGGGGTGTTGTTTACGAAAGTGAGAGGACGAAAAGCGAATGTCCGGCGCTATAACCGGATTGGTGGACACGGAGGGTCCACCTAGGGGAGTTGGAAAACCCTGATTCCAAACCAATGGTGCACATGGGCTCCAGTATCCTGATGGAACGAATGGCGGAAGAACCTGTCATTGGTCAACGACTACCATGGGACTGCATCTCCTCACGATGCTCCACTGCCTTGTGGATCAGACCTTTAGGTCAAAGGCTCCGGGTGTGGCCCCCTAAGAAAACCACCTGCTTCGGTTTGGGCACCCGGGCAGTATCACAGCCCACACACAAATGAATGAAATGATGAACTCTATTGACGATTCTATTCCTGCTCATATTATAAGCAAGACAATTTACGTTATTATTATCATTATTATTATTATTATTACTATTATTATTATTATTATTATTATTATTATTATTATTATTATTATTATTATTATTATTATTATTATTATTACTTACCATATCGCTAATTCACCCCCTTTTACCCCCAATTTGTGTAACCTTACTCTTCAACTTATGCATCAGCTCGCTCTTGGTGGAAAATCTGTCCTATCTAAACGATCTCTAGTCACTGTCTGGTTGAAAGTGAATGCTTCCACCGATAATGAATACTGAGGCAGTCTTTCTGAAACCGCGTACGCCGTTCAAGCTGGCTTCCTTCAACGTTCGCACACTAATGCATATCAGACAACAGATAGGGCTGGCTATGTCTTTGGAAGGTCTTAATGTTGATGTTTGCTGTCTATCCGAGACCCATCGACGACATCTTGGAAACAGCTCTGATGGATGTAAGTAATGGCGGTGTGGATATGTTGCCTGGAGAACGACTTCTCGACCTTGAGTATGCGGATGATATTGTCTTACTGTGCGATAATGCCCAAGGCATGCAATCAGCACTTAATCAGTTGGCAATCAGTGTCCGCAGGTACGGCATGTGCTTTGCACCCTCCAAGTGCAAAGTACTTCTACAAGACTGGCAGGATTCTAATCCTGTACTCACCCTGGATGGTGAGGAGATCGAAGTAGTTGAGAAGTTCGTGTATCTAGGTAGCTATATAAGTGCTGGTGGTGGCGTGAGTGATGAGGTTGATGCACGTATAATGAAAGCCAAATTGGCTTATGCCAATCTGGGCCATCTTTGGCGCCTTCGTGATGTTAGTCTGGCTGTAAAAAGTCGGATTTACAACGCGTCGGTGAGAGCAGTTTTGCTCTATGCTTGTGAAACCTGGCCTCTCCGAGTTGAGGATGTTAGACGTCTCTCTGTGTTCGATCATCGTTGTCTCCGAAGGATTGCTGACATCCAGTGGCAACACCATGTTAGTAATGCAGAGGTTCGGCATCGTGTGTTCGGGCACAGAGACGATAATTCAATTGGTGTCACCATCTTGAAACACCGACTTCGGTGGCTTGGACATGTTTTACGAATGTCGTCCCAGAGACTTCCACGTCGTGCATTATTTGCCGACCCTGGGACTGGTTGGAAAAAGCGTAGAGGAGGTCAGTGTATGACATGGTGTCGTGGCATGAAAGAGAGCTGCAAAGGGCTAGCTTCTGTTGGTCCTTCATGACTCCTTGGTTGGGGTCCGAGAGATGGTGCAACACAGTGGCTAGAGACGTTATCAGATATGGCTCAGAATAGAAACCAGTGGCGATCCTGCTGCAACCTTCTTTTGCTTTCTACATAAAGTATGGTTCTTACTTTCCTATTTGAAAGAGTCTTCTGGTTGTACATTTTAGTCCGCCTTATCTTTTCATCCCTTCTCTTCCTACTTTCATTATTTTGTGTGGGGCATATGTACCTGGTGCCCTTTTGTACCAATATATATGTGTTTAAATAAATAAATAAGATTGCGATGAATTCTTCTTACTAAACAAAATCTCACAGTTGTTCTTTGTAAAAAATCTAACCTTATCCTTTCGTAAAAACCATTATGTTCATTTATTTGTTGATTGTAATATGTTTTCTCTCTTTTATTTCTTCATAATATTACCATTACATTTTGTTATTCTCTTCTCCCAAAGTTTTACAAACTATCAGTAATGGTAAAAGAAAATGATTCACAAATTAGAATCATTGTGTTTCAGTTGAAACGATTATTATATATTCGTATTATCCTCTCTTATGTTAAGTAGGAGTGTAGTGGACGCTACTCACAAGGATGTCTGTAAGCAGTGTGTAGCGGAACGTGGCTTCGAGGTTGCAGCAATTGTCAGACGGAGTAAAAAGTTTCGGTACACCGAAACCACTGTGTTGACAAAACACTTGGAGACCAGACGAGAAAACAGTTTAGATGACCGAACACACCTCACGATGCAGATGGACGATCAAAGGCTATATATGTATTATGTAAATACTTTGTAACTTGTCGCAATAGATACACATTCCTCCTGCCTGGTGTCTTATTTTACAGGAGGAGTTCATTAAAAATCAATAAGTCATATTGTTTTCTTTATCGATCGAGTATACATAATAAGAATAAATACTTATTTGTATGTAAAAGTAACTTACTAGTCAGTAATAATTGTTTTCATGCATTCCTCAGTTTCACTTTGTAGATCTATTTATTTCCTGTTCTTTTTACATTTTTATATTTTAGTGGTCCCCTGTTAATGTAATATGGGAGCCTTCAAATGTTAAAGAAAATACCATGCGATGGTCTTTAACATCCACTCCACAAATAAGATCTGGTTTATTGACTAGTTCATTAATTGGTCCAGCAGTCGGTGATGTCAATATGGATGGGAAACCTGATTTAGGTTTAGGTGTTACAAGTTGGTCAGAAAATGGTCAAAATATGGGTGTTTATCCTGGAGTGTTCGTTAATAAAGGATTAAATTCTAATGGAATTCTCACTTTTCAACTTACTCTAGTTCCGGGTGTTCAGTTGCCACCAGACAATAGTAGACTACGTCAGTTGGCATTTTTTGATCAATCTGATGATGTAAGAATTTTTATTATGACTAATACTTGCTATTAAATGTTTAGTTTCATCGTATTCTTTGGGATATTACATTGCATTAGGTGATGTGAGAAAACTTGTACGACATAATTTAGGCAGAGTGATGCGTGACAAATATTTATTGAATAACTAAAGTCAAAAAGACTACCTTATTGAAGATCTACTGCTGTTGAGATTGCCGCTTGTATTTTTTTGAACAGGAATAAAATGATTACGGAATATTGGTTCGAGCAAAAGCATAAATTCAACTTAATCAGTTTAGCTTCTTATCAGTGTTGTGTTCTGACATCCGATTCCGTCACGATATATGCTTCCCACGGTAAATCGAACCCGCTATGTAAATAAGAAGGCTATATAAGTAAGGAGGTTTGGTTACCGAACCAAATTATAATGTACAAAAACCATAGGTATATATGGGTATGTACGATTGTTCTTCTGACCCTCAAACAAGGACATGTAGGCTAAGACTTCGAGTTGGTGCATAATGGACTTCCTCCGACAGCGTGGTTCGTTTGTAATTTTTCACCTAATATTTAACTTTGAGATAGTATATGAGAACGGCCTTTCATAGTTGTTGGTAACTTGTAACATTATTTATGTTGGAATTCAAAGTAATGGACTGGAATATACTTTTCTGAATTTGGATTCAGTTAACATATAGCCCCACTATTTTATGTAAAGGCTAGTAACATGCGACTCAGTAGCTGGAAGTCAAGTTAACCATCGTTCTCCTAAGGTGAGTCTACGGGAATTACGTAATGTGAGTATTCATCACTATCCCTTGTCTTCTTTCTGTTTGTTTGAAGCTTGTATTTTTTTTTCATCCGACAGAGTTTTTTCAAAAAATATTTTTCAATAGGACTCAACTACATTTTCCTCGTTTATGTACTGTGTTATAGTGTATTCCATTTTTATTGCTTGTAGAGTATTTTGGATTTCTTCATCGTTTCCCTAAATTCCCATGATCAACCATCAGCTCAATTATTCCTTAGTACTGTGGATGCTGATCCATACTTCTTAAAGGTAGTTATTGGGTTATTTTTCTTTCGTAGAGTATATATATATATATATATATATATATATATATATATATATACCACTTTTCATTGCAAAACTCTAACTCACTACTGATAGTGGTACATTCATAGTTTTTTTCTCAAGTTGATACGAATTCCATCAGTTCTCTCAAATTCATCAGTACTGACCTAATAGAAGCATCATCAAAATCAAGTGGACTGTATGACAGGATATTTTTACGTTTACAATTAACACATAACAATCTTGTAAATAACTCATCAGTCTATTATTCTCATTCTTCAATTAGTTTGACGTTAAGGCTTTTTCTGTTTGAAATTAAAAGTTGGTTATTTGTCTTTTTTTTCGACAGAATAATACAAAACTTGATACTATAGAGAATGGCAAACATGAAAATAAACTGACAATGCAGAAACGCTAGATTAATAACACATAGATTTCTGTGTAAGGATAACATACTACAACAGAGTAATTCGTGATGGGCTACTACTAAATTTTGAAAATCTTTTTTCTCAACCCTAATATAACTGCCTAATTCGGTTTGCTAATACGTAGTCAATGATAAGTCTATAGATTTTGTAAAAAATCGGGATGATTTTAAGCATACGCAACTTTAGAGAAATAATAGTTTTTCTGAAAGAAATGTGTCAATCTATCAGACCAACGGGATAACAGGTAGTTTGTTTAATGTTCAACGGAAATAAAATTCTGGACTCTGAAAAATATTACGGTACTTTTGTCAGGGGTGGTTTTTTCGTCTTTTTCTTATATTTTGACAGTTAATTTAATTTTAACTAGGCTATCAGTGAATAGGTGGTGGGAATAATGAGTAGAAATCCCTTTAGTAATGATAATAATATCATGCTAATAAGTCGTAATTCCTTTATTAAAATATTAAAAACCAACTCCACTTATATCTCATAAGTTTCATTAGTCTTGATAGTTTGGTGGCCGATAAAATCTTGACAAGGATACAAAAGAGCTCGCTTGTAGAGAATCGCTTGATAATAAAGTTGTACGCGTTGTATCTGAGACATCTACAATGGTGAATAACATTTTTCCAATTTGGCACAGTTATATGTTCTCTTTTCAAATCTACATGAACCACCAAATGTTTACATTTATCAAAATATTTATTAGTTTCATTGTTGATTTACAACTTTTTTCGAAATCAATTTTAAAATTATAGATGAGATAAATTATGTTTCCATTTTTAAGATAAGTTTATTCAACTGGTCATATTTGTATATGTATCTCTGTGTGTTTACAAGAGAATGAGATAGAGAAAGTTTGTTATCAGACTAATTTTGTGACATGCTACAACATGATGCAAACTGAACAGATTTCTAGTATTGTTATTATGTATAGTAGGTCTGCTTTCTTTTGTGTTCATGTTTACATATGATCCGGTTAATAATTTTTTAATAATTTCAACTACATATAAAGTTTTTACTTTAACGATGTATACTGTATTTATTAAGCTTAATCTGAATATGTTTTACAAATACATAATCTGAATAATTTATTCAGCTTTGCCCGAACTATAATTGTTGAATTTATCTCTACGTGAATGTAAAATGAATTCGTTAATTTTTATAGATTTCATTTCTTTTTAGTTAACAGTTCATAATTGGTTTTTAGTTTAGTAATAAAGAATATACTTCTACAATGTATTCTGTACGAATTAATCAACAAAAGTCAGTCAGTCAGCTACAACGTAGGACCAGGCATATATATGCATCGGTACAAGTTGCCATACCGCGTTAGAACAACAAGATGAACACCGGATTCATAGAAGTAGTTGATTTAGTTGTGGTAGTTTATAAAAGATAGGTTGTATATAAGGATATACTATAGGAGAGAAGAAAGTTATGAAGCAATTTTAATCTCAAGGTTTCAGGGAGGACAAAGAGTGTATGCACCTACGCTATTGTGATCGATTCTGAGCCATGTCACCTAGAGTCTCCATTGGTCACTATTAACAAAATTGGATGACATAAAAAATATATAGGTATTCAATTACTCTAGAACTATCTCTCACATACTTTATAAAGTATGTTCTTATATATAGACTAAATTTTTGAGTGACAGTATCAATTTGTGGTTAATATTACTTTGAGAGTCTTAAATGATTTGATTAATAATCATTTGTTTCGTTGCTGGTTTATCTACTTAATCACTATCTTGTTGAAGTTCTTAAATTTTTAACTTTTATTGTATGGTTATCCTTTTTTTTCTTCTTCTTGTGAGATCGTTTTCATACTGAATTCTAGTATTTATTTCGTGTTACCGATCATTTTTTACGACCCCTTTTTAATTTGTAACAAACTGAAAAGTAATATCTAGTGTCAGATCTTCTCAACCATTAGAATGTTTCATATTGTTTCGAAATAGGTAAAATAGTACCGTAAGGATAACCCTAAAGCGACTGTGAGAATGACCGCATGGTTAGCTATTAGAATGAATGAATAATTTTCTTTAGAATTAAAATTCCAGATCATTAAAATATATGTATACTCTACATTAAAGTGATTAATAAAATTTATTAAGATTGTCAATAGGTTCTTGTGTTTTAAAATCCAAGTAAGTTTGGTATAAATATATGTCCGTTTGACTCTAAATCATTGACTTTTAGAGGCTTTATATGGACGAAGATATGTTTTTTTTAATCGTAACTATATAGTCTTTACATTACTGCTGTTTACACCTTTTAGTGAAGTTGATCAAATAATACTTTTGAACATTTAGATCATGACTATATTTGAATAGTCGAAGACATTTGTAAGCTCTCAAGTCATTAATATAAATAGGTATCATTACCAAGTCTTGATTTGATAATTTTGAATAAATTGAGCATTGGGTAGATTGTTTTAAATAAATTATATATTTGTAATATCCCAATGAGTAGAAAAATTAGATTTTCTGACGTTTCGTGACTCAGTGTAAGCCACTTCTTCAAAGAATAAATAACCAAATTAACATTAATCCAAGTTTAAATAGTACAACGGAACAATCAAATAATATTAGGTGATCAATCAAAAGCTTTTGTTTTTAATTGATCTCCTAATATTCTTTGATTGTTCCGTTGTACTATTTAAACTTGGATTAATGTTAATTTGGTTATTTATTCTTTGAAGAAGTGGCTTACACTGAGTCATGAAACGTCAGAAAATCTAATTTTTCTACTCATTGGGATATTACAAATATATAATTTAATTAATATAAATAGTTGTTCCTAGTTGAAAATATTTGGTGATATTTGGGATTAGCACTGTATATGTTCGATTAGAAACATATCGAAACTGTCTTTTTTCGTAGACTTCCGTTTTATATATTGAAAACCTGCCGTTTAGATGAAATAAACTATTGTTTGCAACTTCTGTGTAAACCTTTCTTCCGTTTTTATACATTTAATAATAACCGGTTTATCGAATACAATAAATTTAGAATGATCTTTGGACGGACGCACTTTGATAGAACTGAAAATATTATGTGGTTACGGGTAAATTTAATAAGCATTGAAATACTAGTAAAATACACTATCTCATTTTGAACACGAAGCGATAAAAAAAAGATGTATTTCTTTATTAAGTTCTTCTGGCAGTATATGTTACTTCAGGAGATAACTGCATTGTGTGTGTATATATACCTTGTTTAGTAACCAATTTCGCTCTGTAATTACATAAGATGGTCTATGTTAACATTGTTCTTTCCTGTATTTGTCATGACCTTAAAGTCACTCTCCTAAATGTGATTAATTTGTCGTTAAAGCATAGTTTAACTTAAGAGTACCTTATAGTATACATTTATTATTGTTATTATTACTCACTTTCACTTCTTTCACTTTTAACTGTAAGGTTACTGTTCTTAACGGACTTTGTTCATCTGCGGATTCATGTTCAGATGGTAAATTACCTTATGGTCTTACGGTACCTGGAATAAGTTCAAAACTCAACACTGAAGCTGCTGCTGGAGGTCGTCATCTTTCTGCTGCACTTTTAAGTTCTCAAAGTTGTTGTAGTGCTCTTCAAGTACCGTTTGCAATATTTGGTTTGGGTCAATTTGCCAATTATGTTGAAAAATTGACAATCTCTATACCACCATCAAAAGAAGTAAATAATTTATTATGAAAAATTATTTGTCTTACATTTTAGACTACTTTTAATTTATATATATATAATTTTGGAAGAATTATTTAACAATATGAGAAAGGTTACTTCTGGATTGTCTTATCTGAATTGATAATGTTAGTCGATTTTTCATCGTTAACACAAAATGTGACTACTTATTCAAGGCTGGCACTGTTACTTACTTATCTAATAATTTTTGTGTTTCAAATATTTTCTTAATATTTGATTTTAACTGTTAAGTAAAAATGTTTTTAGAAAATTAGCTGTAATGGTTTTGGACGGTGAATACAATGAACTTTCACTTACTTCATTTTAGCTCCGAATCCTGTCCCACCTAATTTAGTTAGAGTAGTAGGAAAATATTCATACCTATCACATAAAAATTTGACCTGAAACATAGTATATAACGTGTTCGTGGTAAGCGAAATCCATCGAAAAACAAATTTGCTCAAGTTCTTTAATTAAATTGACTAGAAATATTGTTGGTCTTGATAGTCGAATCATGTGTCATACTTTTCTGTCTTATATGAGTAGCTTCCTGGATTGATCTTAGTTAAATAACCATTAAAAACTAGAAAAAAAACTAGACAGCTGCTGCGTCCTACTATGAGAGTATCCGACAGTGTGCACCTAACCTTCAGACTACTGAACTGATATTCAGTAGTTTATATATTTGACTTCAATAAACTCTCGATATTGTTCAGCCGTCTGTTTTTGTGCGAAGATTGGAAGGAAAATATATTGCTTTTAGTCACAGGCATTCTTGAGCAAAGTTGATGAATGGTGGCCGTATTGGAGTCCAATACGCTCATTGAATAATTCGTCGTAAGCCTCCTTTCACAACTAACATATCAATGGAAATAGGAAGTAATGTATATTATTACACGTCATTCAATCAGTCAGTCATACTCAATGCAGATCCTAGTACATACGTGCATCGGTTAAGGTTTTCACAACTTAATAGCAAATAGATATACCAGAACAATATAAGTAGTAATAATGTTGGTGGCAGTAGAAAAGATTAGGCATAAAGTTTACGATTTAAAAAGAAAATATGGATTCATGAAATAGAAAGACTTTCGAAGTAGTTTGAAGAACTAGAATTTAAGAAAAGACAAAGGGTTAACGCACCTACGCTTTACGAAAAACATCCTCTTTAAATTAATTAACTGTTATATATAAAACCTTATTCATACTATTGGTTATGTAACTTATATTTTCGTTGTCGTTGATATATTGAACACTTTCAAAGCATATATTACTTATATACTAATCATAATTTTTTTAGATGAATAATTTTAGTTTATAATTACGTTCATTTGGTTGACTGAAACGCGTCAGTCGTTATTAATAATGATGATAAGTTTTCGTTCTATTACATTTTCTTAGCTTATTCGATCACGTTTACTATCGTTTATTGTTCCAAAAGCTCAAATTGTTATTAATCCGTATCCATTAGATAATCCTTCTGCGTAAGTTGTTTGTAAAAATAAAGCGATTTTCTATCTTTTGATGTAACTAATTTTATCTCATTTCTGTGGAATTTTAAAAATTATGTATATACTGTTATTCTTCACAATGGTAATCTATGTTATGTTTATTGATAATGACAATTGTCCAATGAATATAAAAGTAGCGGATATAGAATCAAAATATAAACCACAATATATTTTTATCCTTATGAAGAGATTGAAAATGTAGTTATAGAAATAAATTGTTGATATACAAGAATATTAATGGGCGATTGAGTAATAAAATGGGATAAATTTTGAAATTGAAGTGAAATGTAACCAGAGAAGAAGGAAAACATTAAAAAATGAAGTCAGTTAATGATAGTAGTTGTAAAAAGGATCAAGAGAATTAGAAGAGAGGGAGAAAGGGTGATGGCCTTAGAAGAGGTTGAGTTAGTTTCTCTTTTTTGTGTACAGGTCTAGCTTTCCTAAATGTGTTTGTTACAAAAGCTTTAACAATTGAAATGATAAGGAATGTTCATTGCCATTGATAGCTTTCTGTTTACTACGTGTATGACTTTGACAAATCTGTTTTGATCGGACGATCTATACTTACAAGGTGTTCAACTTTTAAGCTTCGCATGAACTTAGTATTATCTCTTTTGCAACCATGAGGAGTTATGTTCTTTACATATATATATATATATATATATATATATATATATATATATCCATACTTTTGTTTCATATTGAAATTTTGTTCAAATTTAATACATAATTAATGTCTCTTCTCATCACCAGATGATACTATATACAGAACTAATAAAAATTATAAAGTACTGAACAAGTTTTTTCTTCTGTGTTAAAAACTTCTGAGGTTGAAAATATTAAACTATAGGGGATTATGACTCTGATTAGAGAAAGAAGGATATCGTTCTCACCACGAAACATGATAAACTACATTGTTAAGCTGTTCTAAACTGAGCACATCTTTCCATTAAGCCTCCTCCATTGACTTCAAATAATTCGCTGGCCAATATAGAGTTAACATTACTTTCTGTTGTAGATCTTTCTCTAAGCAAATACCGCAGAACTCATTCACGCTATTATTTGTATATACGCTAACAATTGATAGCACCACAAGAAATTCACCCCTCCCCTTATTCATTACACTTAATCAGAGTACCAGAAAAAACAATCAACTACTTTATATTGTTATTTAGAATGAAAAATATATCTTGAATATATGAATAAAATGCAAGGTCACAACAAACGGCAAATCTCAATAGACATGCACAACTGTACGATATATATAGGACTTTTGTAATATGAAACTGACTAGCACATGTATAGTTACTTAATTATAGTTCATTGACGAATGGATGCCATTGTAGTCAACGAAAACTCAGGTGGAGAAAACCAATTTATCTACTAATTTTCATAGTTGAAAGCGTGAGTCAATTGAAGCTAGACCACCATGGAAAACCTGGAAGCACTGAACGGCCGTTCCGTCCTATTATGGGACTCCTCAGCAGTGCACAACTCCGCCTGTAGCTCTTCTAGAGCTACTGCCGGTCCCAAGCCCGGGTAAAGGAGGAGGATTGGGCATGCGGTTAGCGACCCCATCCCGTAGAAAAACTAACTCGCTAAAAAAGCGCTAACCAGAAAAAATCATTCAAACCATTTAAACTCTGTCCTCCGAGTTGAAGGAATAATGACGTCTCATGATGAAAGCCGAAATTCTTCGGAGGTCACGAGACCGATGCCCCTTCTAACAACCAAAGCAACACTCTTTATAGGTACATGGAACGTCCGGACGATGTGGGAGACAGGAAAAACCAGCCAAATAGCAATGGAAATGAGAAGATACAACTTGGCAGTATTCGGAATCAGCGAAACCTATTGGACACAAACTGGACAACAAAGGCTAGGTACAGGAGAGATGCTGCTGTACTCCGGTCACGAAGGGGAAAATGCTCCACACACTCAGGGAGTTGTTCTAATGCTGTCCAAAGAAGCACGAAATGCACTTGTGGGATGGGAATCTCATGGACCCAGGATAATCAAAGCATCATTCAGAACAAAGAAGCAAGGGATCAAAATGAACATTATCCAATGTTATGCACCCACTAATGATAGCAACGACGATGATAAAGATCAGTTCTACTCGAGGCTGCACTCAATTATCGCGAAGTGCTCACGAAAGGACCTGACCATCCTGATGGGAGATCTAAATGCTAAAGTTGGAGTGGACAACACAGGATATGAAGATATAATCGGACGACATGGACTAGGAGAGAGAAATGAAAATTGGGAGAGACTTGCAAACCTATGTGCTTTCAACAAATTGGTTATAGGCGGCACAATATTCCCACACAAGCGCATACACAAAGCTACATGGATCTCACCGGACCAAACCACAGAGGACCAGATAGATCACATCTGTATCAACAAAAAATTCCGAAGATCAATGGAAGATGTGAGAACCTGGAGAGGATCTGACATAGCTTCAGATCACCACAGGCTGGTTGTGGCCAAGATGAGACTGAAGCTAAAGAAAGTCTGGACAACTGGACAAACAGCACTACAAAGGTTCAATACAGCCTTCCTTCGAGATACAGACAATCTCCATGAATTCAAGATAACTCTCAACAACAGGTTCCAAACTCTACAGGATCTACTGAAAGAACAAGAAACTACTATGGAGGACAACTGGAAAGGGATAAAAGAAGCACTAACTTCAACATGTCAGGAGGTTCTTGGTCCTAAGAAGCATCATCATAAGGGATGGATCTCTATGGGAACCCAGGATAAGATTGAAGAAAGGAAGAACAAGAAGACAGCAACTAACAACAGCCGAACACGAGCAGAGAAAGTCAAGGCAAAAGCAGAGTACACAGAAGCAAACAAGCAAGTGGCGAAGAGTATTAAAGCCAATAAGCAGAAATACATGGGAGAACTGGCAACGACCATGGAAAAAGCTGCAAGAGAAGGGAATATGAAACAACTATATGACACAACGAAGAAATTGGCAGGGAGATATAGCAAACCAGAGAGACCAGTCGAGGACAAAGAAGGAAAGACAATCACTGAGATTCAAGAACAAAGGGAAAGATGGGCAGAATACTTTGAGGAACTGCTGAATAGACCAGCCCCATTGAATCCACCGAACATCGAGGCAGCCCACACTGACCTTCCAATAGATATCACTCCACCAACGATCGAAGAAGTCAAGATGGCCATCAGACAAATCAAAAGTGGGAAGGCGGCAGGACCTGACAATATACCAGGAGAAGCACTGAAGTCAGACATTGAAATAACTGCAAATATGCTTCACCTTCTATTCAAGAAGATTTGGGAAGAGGAACAAGTGCCAACGGACTGGAAAGAAGGATATCTCATCAAGATACCAAAGAAAGGAGATCTGAGCCCATGTGAGAACTACAGAGGCATCAGTTTGTTATCAGTACCAGGAAAAGTTTTCAACAGAGTGCTGCTGAATCGGATGAAAGACTCAGTAGACGCTGAACTTAGGGATCATCAGGCTGGATTCCGTAAGGATCGGTCGTGCACAGACCAGATTGCGACACTACGGATCATCGTTGAACAATCAGTTGAGTGGAACTCATCACTATACGTCAACTTCATTGACTATGAGAAGGCGTTTGACAGCGTGGACAGGAGAACATTATGGAAACTTCTTCGACACTATGGAGTTCCTCAGAAGATTGTCAACATTATCCAAAACTCATACGATGGACTACAGTGCAAAGTGGTGCATGGAGGACAGCTGACAGGTGCATTTCCAGTAAGGACCGGAGTCAGATAAGGCTGTCTACTCTCCCCATTCCTCTTCCTTCTAGTGATTGACTGGATTATGAAGAATTCGACATCTGAAGGGAAATACGGAATACAATGGACTTCTCAGAATCAATTGGATGATTTGGACTTCGCAGATGACCTAGCCCTCCTCTCTCATACACACGAACAAATGCAGATGAAGACAGCAAATGTAGCAGCAGCCTCCGCATCGATAGGCCTCCACATTCACAAAGGAAAAAGCAAGATTCTCAAATGCAACACGGAGAACACCAACCCAATCACACTTGATGGAGAAACTCTTGAAGAGGTGGAAACATTCAAGTACCTGGGGAGCATCGTTGATAAACAAGGAGGATCGGATGCAGATGTAAAGGCGAGGATTGGAAAAGCAAGGGCAGCATTTTTACAATTGAAGAACATATGGAACTCTATACAACTCTCAACCAATTTCAAAGTCAGAATCTTTAATACGAACGTCAAGACAGTCTTACTGTACGGAGCTGAAACGTGGAGAACTACTACGGCCATCATCAGGAAGGTACAAGTATTTATAAACAATTGTCTACGCAAAATACTCAACACTCACTGGCCGGATACTATCAGCAACAGCGTTTTATGGGAGAGGACAAACCAGCTTCCAGCTGAAGAGGAAATAAGGAAAAGACGTTGGAAGTGGATCGGACATACATTAAGGAAATCACCAATGTGCATCACGACTCAATCCCTAACTTGGAATCCGGAAGGGAAGCGGAAGAGAGGAAGGCCAAAGAACACACTACGCCGGGAAATAGAAGCCGATATGAAAAGGATGAATGTTAACTGGAAAGAACTGGAAAGGAAGGCTCAGGACAGAGTTGGATGGAGAATGCTGTTGAGCGGCCTATGCTCCTCCACAAGGGGTAACAGGCGTAAGTAAGTAAGTAAGTCAGCAGTGCACATTCACGATCCCGCACTCGCGAGATTCGAACCCAGGACCTACCAGTGTCGAGCCGGAGCCCTTAACCGACAGACCACTTCCAGGTTGTCCATGGTGGTATAGCTTCAATTGACTCACGCTTTCAACTATGAAAATACTAAATCTCCACAAAACCCCTTCTGATATCTATTAATTGCAAAATTACACAATGACTTAGTAAATTATGAACATTATACATGTAGTACACTATTTGCACATCTTCCTTCATTCATCCTTCACACGCTTCATGATTCTTTCAATTCTGTTGTTGTTAAAATTTTTCTCTATCTCCCTTTCTGTTTTCATCGATTCAATCTTCTGTTCTCTGACATTCCATTTCTGATTGCTGCTACTACTTATATCTCTCAGTGTAAGTAGCATTCACTACACTATCACAACGTTTAATGCGTCAAATGAAAGCTCACAATTAGAATAATCTAAAGATTTCATTAACCAATTATTTGATAAATTCGTCTAAAAGAAGATACACAAAATGTGACTGTTTTGAGAATTGTTTTTCTGAATTTTACTGTTCCCTCTCCCTTGTATCTACCTAACACTTCCCTATGTAACACGATTATGTTAATTAGAATATTTATGGACATATTTATATGATTTTCATTTTATCCTTTTTTCTACTACCATATTTTTAGATGGACTATGAGATTGTTTCTTCAACCATTATATAATATGAAAGTACTATATATAGCTATAACACTACTATGTATTTGTATTCTACTCGTAATTATTATTGGTATTCTTCAATGGTTTGAATTTCGTGAAGATCGTTTAGAAAAACAAAAAGAATCTCAACGTTTTCATTTTGATGCAATGTGAAAAACAAAAAACAAAACATGAAAAGAGCGTCCGTACATGTATGTGTATGTAAGAATGAAAATTAATACTTGATAGTAACAAAAACATACACTTTGAATGATGTGTTTCTTACTTATATCAATTTATTTTTATTCAGCCTCTTCTTGTTTGGAGTATTTATATGGCTGTGAGTGTACAGGAGAGAGAGACAGAATTGATCGAGTGGAGTGTACCTTATTTATTGTCTAACAAAGTAACTGTGATCCATGTCTTTCCTAATTTTTTTTCTGTTTCAAATGTTATTAATCTTATTATTAATCTTTCTTTTTTCTCCGTGCATATTTTGCACCATGACTTTAAGGTTTTTGTTACGTATCCTACATTCTGTTTATACAGATATCTACGACGGTATATATATATATATATATTCTGAGTTCTTAAAATTGAATTTATTAATGTTTGATTCAGTGAAGTCATCTATTTGTTTTTTATTCGTCTGAATGAAATGTTTAATTGGCAATAAAAACATTCACAGATTGCTTAAATAAAATTGACGTTTTATTTTGTATTTTCGGTACTAATGAATTTTTATCTAGTTTTGTTGTTGTTTTATCCTTATCAAAGATTCACTTTTTGACGTTTCTAAATAATTATAATAAAAATAAAAAAATAAGTTTCATAACATTGTAAGTAAGTAGTGTTTTGCTTCTCCATTATTTCGCGTTCTTAAAATTATTTATCGACACGGGGCTATTCTGTTCTTTACAATAACTGCTACCTTGACGTGGTGGTGGAGCTTGCCTGTCGTAATGACTCAACTTAGTTGTATTGTATTTATTTATTTAAACACATATATATTGGTACAAAAGGGCACCAGGTACATATGCGCCACACAAAATAATGAAAGTAGAAAGAGAAGGGATAAAAAGATAAGGCGGGCTGAAATGTACAACCAGAAGACTCTTTCAGTTAGGAAAGTTAGAACCATTCTTTATGTAGAAAGTAAAAGAAGGTTGCAGCAGGATCGCTACTGGTTTCTATTCTGAGCCATATCTGATAACGTCTCTAGCCACTGTGTTGCACTATCTCTCGGACCCTAACCAGGGAGTCGTGAAGGACCAACGGAAGCTAGCCCTTTGCAGCTCTCTTTCATGCCACGACACCATGTCATACACTGACCTCCTACGAAAAGTCTGTATTTGTGACCGCTCTCCAGCACTTGTCATTTTGGATCCGAGGTCGCCGCCAAACCACCTTTCTTTTCACGTTCTTCAAAAAGAGATATCTTTCCACGTTATGGTCAACCGGGAAGTGATAACCTCCCTTTTACCTCTCACAACATCCGAGATCATCTTGTTCACAATAAAATCTCTCCCTCACTTCTTAAAAATTATTTTACCCCCACGAATCACCCTTCTTACAAATCTTTATCGCTTTGTGCCAGCAATTTTAATGAGTCATGTTGACAAAACAATATTTTTGATCTCTTAAAACCTATAGCAACCATCCTACAATCACCTTGGTTTATAGCCAATTTTGGTTAAGCCCTTTTTTATAACTTACTTAACAGACATCGTCATTTGGATAGTAACAATTTGCATATTCTTTGCACTGCTATACCACTAGAGCACATGACACTCTAGCCGAAATGTTGACTGCTTAAATATCATTCGATGACTAATACTCCTCCCCATATATGTACGCACACAAATATTATTATTAGCCTTTGTTTTGCTTTGCTGTGCCCTTATTAAATTTGACTATAAATTGCCTATGTAATTGCTTGCTACTCGCTCGCTCGCTTGCTCCTCGTTCGTTTCCTTCGCTTATTCGCCTGTTCACTCGCTCGTTATTATTCGCTCAGGTGTTGTTAACTTTCTGACCTGAGTTATTCGACAATAAACTGTAGTTGCTGCTATCCTTTGTCTTCTGATTTTACGCGCCGTTAAGTTTAGAATTATAACGGTTATCGAAGTAAACGGTTAACGAATCGCGGCACTACAAACCACACTCTGTGTTGGAGCGTTTGATATTCGAACCCTGTATCAGATAAGACAGTAGGCTTCCTTGGTCAGTACACTAGAATCTCACATCATCAATGTATGCTGCGACTCCGAAAAGCACATACAGGATCCAAGTATAGTCATTTATTTGACCTCAACCCGTGAATATAAAGAACCACCCTTCATGTATTTAGAGATCCCACTAATACTTCCTGTGACCTCGTTAGTGTAGGTAGAACATTAATTTTAAAAGTAGGACGGGCTCTCCTAGACTGAATTACGACAGACAGTAGCTTAAGCGCTGCTCAACTAAACGAGACGAAAAGGACTCGAGAAGTTAGGGACACGCGCCTTTTTCTCTTCGTTGTTCCTGTCTACGCTACCACTGACTAGAGCCCGGATAAAGTAAAAGACAAATTTTATAGGACGATTTTTAACCCGCCTCAAAAGGCTAAACACTCTGATGTTGTAGTAGTTTTAGATGATCTTAATCACTGAATAGGTTAACTAAACCAAACCGAAAGACACAAAGGAGGATCTTGCGATTTCGTGACTCAGCCAACAGATAATGATGACAATCTGCAACTATGCCCACATAATCGTTCGTTTCTAGCAAGCGCCAATAAGGATAAACTTCATTTGAAATAGCAACCCCCACAATCGAATCAACGGTGGAACAAAATAGACCCGATTTTCATCACCCATTGTTGAAGAGGCTAGATAGAAGACTGCCACTCGTTCTCGAGCACATGTTTAGGACTCAGATCATGCTGTGGCACGAGAAAGTGTTCATCTGGGTCTCACTGGACGTAGAAAAGGTACAGCTAGAAACCTCTTCAAGTTTAAATTTGTGATAAGAAAAGTCAGGAATATGTTTCAGAAACAACTAGATAAGGAGTTAACCAACCATGAGAGTGAGGATGATATCTATAAATCTGTGGAAATCAGTGATATTTTCTAGGAATTTGAACCAAGAGGTTTGAGAGACGTAAACGACGTTTATTGATCTTCTAGATGCCCAGAAACGCATCCCACCTAGCTTTGAACACAATGAGGATTGGAGGTAGCCTAAAGGTTAGTTGATAAAAAGCTTACGCAATTATCTTGAGCAATGGTGGGTAACGAAAGCAGTGGTGATGATTGAGGCAGCGGCAATCGGTAAAGCTAGACGGGTATTAGAAACCCGGTTGTTAGTGAAACCATCTAGGAAAAAGATGGGACTATTATTCAATTTCAGTCCAGAATATTGGACCGATGGTCAGAACTCTAGGGAACAGTTTAACCGGCCTTCATTTATCAAATACCTACAAGTAAACTGAATGGCAAATTGATGTAAGTCCTCAAACTCTCAGCGGAGTTGAAAAGGTTATAAGCAATCTAAAGCTATCAAGAGCAACAGGGCCTGATGGACTAGCCTCTAAGAATTTTAAGGATGGTATTTTAGTTTGAGCAGTTAGACTAACTTCAAGCTTAGCTAAAATCTTGGAATCGGGCGTCATTTCATCTGACCGATCTCGATCTCTGGTCGCCCCAGTCTATAGGAAAAGCCGAAAATCCTCTTGTTACAATCACAGAGGATTCAGTTTAACTAGCATAGTGTCGGAAATATTTGCCTCAATAATGCTTCGAAACATAACTAGAGATCATGAAGAGCAAATAAAAAAAACTAGTTTGGTTTCAGACCTGGACGTGGATGCATAGACCAGTTGCTCACCTTTTATCAGGTTCTGAAACATAGACATGTTTTTCGACATCCAACAACAGTTATATTCCTTGACCTTAATGCAGCGTTCGACCCTATTGATCGTGAAGTTCAGTGGTCGTGTCTGTCATTGAAAGACGTGCTAAAGAAGTACACCAATCCTGTACAAGCTTTCTACTCTAACACCAATAGTCGAGTCAGAGCTTATGATGAACTTTCATCAGGATTGGTTACTTCAAGTGGTGTTCATCAGGGCTGTCCGCCTTCCCCATTCTTGTTTAACTTTGTCATAGACGTGGTTTTAAATACGACACTTTCACCGTGTGGTTCACTTGTTGATAATATAGTTCTATTTGATAAAGATACTGACAAAATGAAGTCTTCTAACCGCCTTAAGGAACAATGGAAGCATGTTTAAGATGCAATTCTCTCTCTTCAAATACAAAATTTTGCTTCAGGATTGGCTTGTGTCAGTGCCTAAATTAATGATAGAGAGGGAAGTAGTCGAACGCTTCTCTTATCTTGGGAATCTCACGGTACTGATGTCCAATGAAATCTCGTCACAGGCTCAGTTGGCTCGATTGGCTTTTGACAACTTGCGACACATGGTATAGGCGAGATATTCGTCTTTCAATCAAATGGCGAGTTAGCTTCATTCTATCTTATGGGTTTTAAACACGGCCATTAGGCATAAAGAATATTCGCAATTTGCTAGTATTCGATCTATAGATGTGTTTGAAGCATTGTTCATGTATTTTGAGACAACCATGTACACAATGCCTGGGTTAGAAATCGCGTACTAGGTAGGAATGGCAAATCGATTTACGAGGTAGTAAGTCTCCATTTGTGGTTGGGGTGTGTTAATTATCCCTAACCGCATTTCTCAATCGTCTGTTGTAGGAGTAGGTTGGAAGAATGCTAGGCACAACCAAAACAGGATATAACATCAGTCCATTAAGTCATTGACAGTTGGACTGAGATAATTACATTGATGTAAAATACCTGGTTGTGGTCCGCATGAATATCATAACCAGTGGTTAGAGACTGTATGACATAACTCATAATTGTTTGCAATGGCGAAATGCAATCATTCTTTGACTTCCTTCAGATTCTTAGCTTCTGAATTCTTTATGATTTTATTTCAATAATTCTTATTTTCTTGCATCATATCTTCGATCCCTAATCTTTCCTCTTATAATTATTACCGTTCTCACTTCTACCATTCTGGGATTCGCCCTAACAATTTCATACCGTTTTCCAGATAGGGTGGTGCTACTAGGACCAATATGCATGTGTAGCAGATTCTACGTCGCGAATGATCAATGTAAAACTTCTGAATTAACTATCTGAAAAATCTACCCATTAGTTGTAGGCATACAGCTTGAGTGTTAAAACATAATTGATTGGAATTAGTTTTTTCTCTCAAAACACCTCGTCATTATTCACTTGGATTCCATCTAACCCTAAGTTGCTACATTTAAAATAATGTTAACTGAACACAACTGACATTAGTGTTGCGATTTGACAAACGATATGCTATGTGCCTATGGTACGTAACACTACTAACAGAAGTGATTTGGTTTTAGAGTTGAAGGTGCAAAATGGGAACTGTTTTAGTTGTTTTTACTGGTTAATGTATGCAGAATACAAACGAGAAACTTTATAATTACAAGTAGACAACTACAAATATAAATTATCTAACGAACCACATTATTTCCGTAAAATAACCAATAATTTGTTTATCTACCACAAAACTTATAACTTGACAATAGGTTCTGATATGATCGGCTAAACATTCTTCATTGTCTTCCCACTTTGATCAACGTAGCATCTACCGCAGACCACTGTCAGAACTCAATAAAATATTACGCAGTACCTCAATTCATTGCTGTTGTAGTTTTTTTGGGAACTAATTAAACGTAGTGTTTTCATATAACATGGAGCACTGACTGCATACAAATAGTACAATGAAAGTATGGAAGATCAGTAATCTATAACTTGAAGTCTTGAGTTATAAAGAGTTTCATGAAGCAGTATGTAAGACTGTTTATATCACTTATTACTTACTTACTTACTTACGCCTGTTACCCCTCGTCGAGGAGCATAGGCCGCTCACCAGCATTCTCCATCCAACTCTGTCCTGAGCCTTC